AAAACCATACACACAAGAAAGTACAAAATTTACAAAAAGCTCATTCCACAAAAAGCTGGGAATGTGTAGCCTGCTTGTTTATTAGGCTAACTGAAACACAAACTGTTTGTTGGATTTTTCATTTGAAAATTTCCACATACACTAGTATATAGACTCTCTAAAAGATGCATCTCGAATTTCAGACTTCCGGTCATTGCGCAATGCATACTGGGAAGGATTTTTCGAAAAAGTGAGCATCAAACCACCATGTTTGTTTTCCCAGTGGGATGTGTCTATTGAAAAAGTCGATCTTTTCAAGTCTTTTGAACCATATCACTTTTGTTTCTGGTTCTGATATTGTCATATTTTAGTTTTGGGAATCGGACATCATAATTGTGTGGCTGTTGGATCCTAACAACGGAAAACGGCTCGAGAAAATAGTTTGCGAACTTCAACTGCAAAAGGGAATCAATTGAAACTGGCTTTGTCAATAGACGCATCCCACTTGGAAAACAAACATGGCAGTTTGATGCTCACTTTTTAGGAAAATCCTTCCCCAGTATGAATTACACAATGACTAGAAGTCCGAAATTCGTGATGCATGTCGAGAGGGGTCTGGCTGCAGACGTATGGGGAAAGTGGAGCACCACTTGAGACCGGAAGCATGTGATCTCCATCGGATACACGTGACATCTCCTATAGACTTTTATTTTTAATTTATATTAGCAGTGTCCCAATTCAAGGGCTGCAGCTTTCGAAAGCAGAGGCTTTCAAGACACGCTGCTAACGCTAATGCTAACAACACGCACCATGCAGATTACGCACACAGATCAGTAAAAGCTCAAAGCCTCGAGGTTCACGGAGTTAGAAATTTGACAGTTTTGTGGGTTATGAGTGTATTTTACATTTACAGGTGTGTTAGTGATGGTTTTCTAAAGTTTAAAGCGTGTACTCACAGGTTTTCTCCACCCTCCAGATGGGCTTTTTGCTCTGTGTATACAGTCCCTGACAAAAGTCTTGTCGCTTATCCATTTTGTAGAAACAAAAGCTTATAACCTGACTTTAAATTAATCGATTGGTTTTAGAAATGTCTCATATGAAGCTAAAACCCTCCCAAATTATGCTCAATAAACTAAAATAAATTTGCTTCACTGAAGAAAGATTGATCATTTAATGAACACAGAAAGGTCAAATTTTGGCAAGACAAAAGTTTTGTCGCCTACAGAAAATTGAACAAATAATTTACTTCAAATACAAAAATATGTTGCGTAATGTCAGTGAATGAAGTAGTGGTGCTGTGAGATCCATATTTAATATCTTGTATGACTCCATGAGCTTGAAAGCTGCATCCATGCGGTTCAACAATGATTCATATAATTTGTTGATGAAGTCATCAGGAATAGCAAAGAAAGCGTCTTACATGCCTCCCAGAGTTCATCAAGATTCTTTGGTTTTGTCTTCCATGCTTCCTCTTTCATTCTACCCCCAGACATGCTCAATGATGTTCATGTCTGGTGACTGGGCTGGCCAGTCCTGGAGCACCTTGATCTTCTTCACCTTGAGAAACTTTGATGTAGAGATAGAAGTATGCGATGGAGCACCATCCTGCTGCAAAATTTGACCCCTTTTATGGTTGGGAATGTAAGAGGAGCTAATACTTCTTGATATTTTAGGCTATTGATATTGCCTTCCACCCTGCAAATGTCTCGCACACCCCCATACTGGATGTAACCCCAGACCATGATTTTTCCGCCACCAAACTGTTTTCTGGGTGAATCTTGGATCCATGCGGCTCCAGTAGGTCTCCTGCAATATTTGCGGAGGCTGTGATGTAATTCAACTGAGGATTCATCTGAGAAATCCACCTTCTGCCACTTTTCCAGTGTCCATCCTTTTAGCAGACTGTGGGCCTTGGCTAATGCCACATGGTTTTTTAATTGCCTTTTGTTTAGTGCTGGTTTCTGTGCACTGATTCGACCATGGAGGCCATTTCGAGACAGAATTCTACAAACTGTTGTGGTTGACACAGGGACTTGAGGTGACCAGGCCTGGTGGAGTCTGCTGCAGTGGAAAAGGGGCTGGCCTTGGATTTTCGAATCAACAAACGGTCCTCCCGAGCAGTTGTCTTGCGGGGTCTGCCGGACCTGGGCTTGTCAAAAACATCTCCAGTCATTTCAGATCTTTTTCTTATTCTTTGTACTTGACGCTGAGACACATTGAAGGTGTCACCACCTCAGCAGTGGATCTGGTCTTCAGCCTCTTGATAATTCACGCTTTGGTCTCAGGGTGGATCTTAGGCATGTTGTCAGAGGTCAAGTTGCAGTTGATGTGAAGGTCTGGTGTGCTGGGTTCTTTTTATACACAAACACTAATTGATTGATTAGTAACTGATCACAGGTGAGGCTGTAATCTAGGATTGGATGCATCATATGACAAGGCCACAAGACTTTTGTCTTGCCAAAATCTGATCTTTCTTTGTTCATTAAATGATCAATCTTTCTTCAGTGAAGCAAATTTATTTTAGTATATTGAACATCATTTGGGAGGGTTTTAGCTTTCATATGAGACATTTCTAAAACCAATTGATTAATTTAAAGTCCGGTTATAAGCTTTTGTTTCTACAAAATTGATAAGCGACAAGACTTTTGTCAGGGACTGTATATGTGTGAATACATTTCAGAATGTAAAAACAATCTTATTTAATAAACGTTTACTTGAGGTCAAAATAAATCGTTTCGTCGCCCCACAGGCCTACATAAAAGTGGAGGTCATGTGTTTCCGATCTAGAGCATGGACTGTATAAAAGAAGTGAACTAAGCGAGTGTGACGTCACCCAGAGAGTTCCCACATTGACCAATGGGTTTAAAGTTTATTCTAGCTCATAGCAGCAGATAAAGAAGTACTACATGGAGCCCAGACTGAGGTTAATTTGAGCAGAAGATGAAATCTCTCCAGTGTCTTTGACAAAGATAAGCAAATAAACACAGTGAAAGTTTGAGATTTGGTTAAGGCCAAACAGGATCTCTTCCATATGTACAGAGGAGTCTAACCTGAGCTGTTCAGCCGCCTGTTTCTCTGGGCTCCACTGAAAATGCATCAGATGTTTTCCACCTAGCCTGTGACAACGAGACAGACTCTTAAAGACCAGTGTTCATTCTCGGTAGTGACTGGAACATAACGTTACACATTAAAACTAGTTTGAGAAGACCCACAGTCAAATCCCACCCAAATCCACGTCTCTGACCAAATAGCAGCCTGCGTACAACCTTATAACACTTTTAGTCGGAAGATAACGAAAGGCACGCAAGTGACTTTAGATGCAGCTGGATATACTAACAACGCTATTCAGCTAATGCTAACCAATGCCACACAAACCGTAACATCATATCAACTTTTGTAACTAGTTTAGTGTAATTTTTCACTCACCACATCAGTTGGATAAGATAGAAAGAAATGATTCTCCTATTAAATGGAGCCTTTCGGTGCATCCTTTGCTTTACTGGCACAGGTTTGTGAAGCATTCCTCTGTGATGTGGTTAGCACTTACAAAAAGCATCAATGACACAATCAAACAACATGCAGTGACGCAGTGATCTGGTGCCTTCTTTAAAATGCCGGCAATGTGGAAATATTTAGGGCACACTCACACAAAGGGTTTAGAACTGTGCCATGCTCAAGCATGATTGCACAGGGTTCTATGTTCTGCACTCACACCTGCACCTTGTACTTGTGAATGAGGATAATTCAAGCCACGTAATAGTAATTAGTTACATGTAAAGGCCAAGACCCATTGGTCTCGACCTACAAGTGTCTCACACAACAGCTCTGCATCGCCTGCTCTGATTGGCCAAAGGCCAATAAATAAGGCATAATAAATATTTGGCATTTAGGGCTCTGTATATTTGAGACGGCCGCCTCAATGTTGTGTCTGATCATTAGAATGTGCATATGCAGATGGGCTGGTTGGTTTAATGAGTTGGAAGGCAACGCAGAAGAAAAAACTTTGAAATATTCAGGATTCAGACAAAAATAACTTTATTTAGCTGCATAGTTCACAGTTTTATAATAAATTTCTAAATGCATAAGTATCTAAACTGGAGCAAGAACATAAACATACCAAAGGTTTAAAGACTTTTTAGGTGACACCTGAGAAATCTAAAAACGACTCATTTTCAAGACACCCACAACCCTGGATCTGCCAGTAAAACAATAGAGGATAGTGCCATTATTTGTGGACTTTGCTTTTAGATGTGGGACATAGAACAGAAAGATTCTTTTGCGTTTGTCATTAAGTCACAGATGTGTCATTTGCTTCTTGATGTATGAAAATTGTCCAAAGCTCAAAAGATTTCAATCTTTGTCATGGCTTTAATCCCGTATCACATATCCACGTAAAAAAATATTATTATTATGATTATTATATATGTTTTAGAGCAGTCAAGGTAAAACAGCTTTTATAAAATCAGGCTGTAACTGATGCACTAAAGCTTTATCAGTGCATTTAGAGGAATCGTAGCATTTCAAGACCATTTTTGCAATTAACACACCATTTTTAGGGCTTGACCATGACATTTTTTTTCTCATATTGATCTATCTCAATTTTCAATTTAATTTTATTTAGACTTCTAATCAGTGCCATTTAACAGATTTTTTCTCCAGATTTTAATCTCCAAACCACATGCTTTTACTGACAGGATTAGCTGTAGACCTCTTGATTCAAAACCACATCAGTGATGATCACACCAACTCTCTCGATGAATTGCCCAGCCCTACCTGTTACAATACAAGATTTGGAAATTACATCTATAATTTCATTATAATATTCATGATATGAGGATATTTTTAAGAAAATATTTTACAGTGCAGCTTTAAGCAAATCCTCTCAACCTATACTATATTGTACTTTGCATTAGACAAACTTGATTTGTCTTTCCTCCGAAAATAAGAAACAAAAACATGTTTATAATAAATATAAAATAACTATAAAAAAAAAAAAAAACACAAGACATCACATATTGGAGTCAGACTTTTGTTTCATCATCGCTGTCTCCCTCCTCTCTCACAAACAGTCTCTGCAGTGACCGGGGCATGGGGGAGGGAGGGGAGGAGGAGGCGGATGAGGGGATGAAGAGCGGAGGGCGAGGGACACGTGGAGGAGTGGGCAGAGTACTACTATCACTACTACTACTACTTCTACTTCTACTGCTGTCATAGTCTGCGTGTATAGACCCCCTTTCTATCCACACCTCTGCTTCGTTCTCGGAGCTGTGCGGTTGGTGGTCCGGAGGGGTGGGGGGTGACGGTGGGGGTTGTGGCGGCACAGAGGGGCAGGGGAAGGAGGTGGGGGCAGTGATGGAGGAGGGGGAGTTGGCGGTAGATGACGAGGTGGAGCTGGGGTGAGATTTGGGGGCAGATTTGTGGCTCACGTCCCTGAAACTGGCCAGAGGAGGACGGAGGCGCACCCCGGAGCGAGTGGAGCCTTCGATGGCCTTCTGAAGCTGCAGGAGGGTGGGGGTGGGGGCAGGTGGAGGAGGAAGTGGGGGAGAGGAGAAAAGTAAGAGATAATATGGGTCCTTTTAAAGTGCACAGTGGAAAATGCAGACCAGAGGAAGTGAAAGCAGATTATTTAAATATTGATAATATTGTGAATGTTTTTTTGAAGATATATTGAGACTTTGCAGCTGATGTCATCAACGTTCCCTGTAGACACTGCTTTGTCTGAAGCTTTGTTACTCAAGTTAAGACTTAAATTTGAGTTTTAATTTTAACACAATCTGACCAGAAAGAGCTGGTTTAGTTGGAACTACAACAGGTGAGTTGATTTGTGCTGTCACTTTCACCTTTTTGTTGAACATCAAACACCTAAATAGAACCATGAACACTCGTATTGATCACAGGGCTCAAATAAATTTTTTTCTTGGTAGGGTATGCTAATGTTTACATTGTATCACCATGGTAACTGTAGATAACGCCCCACGTTAAAGGGCTTTAGATTGAAATCATGATTACTTCTACTGGCAAAATGTACCTGTAGTAAAAGACTAAACCTATAATATATAGACACTAGTTTAAAAGAAAAGTGGATTTGCTCCATTTTTGTGCTGTTGAACATGCTCTTCTAATTTCAATTCATTGCACAGCCATAAGTGATACGTAAACGCTACCCTCAAACTACTCTTTGGTAGATCTACTTCACAAGTGTGCCTTACCTCTTTGAGAGCGACCACTCCCACTAGTTTCCCAATACTGGTGACATATGCATGGCTCAGTCCCAGCAGAGAGAAGAGAGTGTGTGTCTGCAGACAGGACAAGTTTAAGATGAGAAACACAGTCACTCAGAAACTTTTATCAGAGTTTAACACAGCCTATCCTAACCCAGAGTTTAACACAGTCAGACTCTAACCCAGAGTTTAACACAGTCAGACTCTAACCCAGAGTTTAACACAGTTTGACTCTAACCAAGAATTTAACTAACCCAGAGTTTAACACAGTTTGACTCTAACCCAGAGTTTAAAAAAGTCGGGCTTTAACCCAGAGTTTAACACACCCTGACATTAACCTAGAGTTTAACAGAGTCTGATTCTAACCTAGAGTTTACAGCCTGAGCTCAGGTTAAACAAATTCCAAACTCTGAGTCACAGATAATTGGCTCGGGCACAGCAGGTGAAGAGGAGTCTGAGCTGATGCTGACGCAGAAGGACGTCAGCACAGAAATATAAAACTGGCAAAACAAACTTCCGGTATTCCCTGTAGTCTATTTTTGAAAATACCTACACAGTAGAGCCAAAACCAAGAGATTATAGAGATTACTGATATCTTTAATGGGAACATATTATGTAAAATTGACTTGTATGACCTTTTATCATGCTGTAACTGTGTTCCTTCATTCGCCCTCATTACTCAAAGCTGTATTTCAGTTGATTCATGCATGTTTGACTAGCCCCCGGCCCATCTTCGCATACTGATCTGTATTTATTTGTCATACATGTAAGAAAGAAAAAAATGTCACAATAATTCTCAACAATAAAAACATGTAAATGAAGAGCTGCTGCTGGCTAGTTTTGAAATGCAACTATGCAAAGGTGGGTCCGTCATGTCTGCAGTTGTGAACAGGAGGTAAATGATCCTGTTTCTATTATTAGGCTGTTTTAGATCAATCTTGTACTTCCCAAGTAACAAAAAGTCAAATGATCAACATACACTACCGGTCAAAAGTTTCAGAACACCACGCGTTCTCCAGTTTTTTACTGTTTGACCAAAACATATTCTAAACCTTTGATTCATGAAAGTGTCCATCTTTGGCAGATAGAACAGCTGAACACACTTGTGGCTTGTTCTTTTTACAATAGAAATCAAATATTCTTCAGAAAGTTCTTTCCAAGTCTGTTGAAGAAGTCCTATAAATGTGTGGCACTTGTAGGTTGCTTGGCTTTCACTCTTCTGTCCTGTTCATCCCAAACCAGCTCGATGGGGTTTAAGTCACACTGTGCTGGACACTCCATGTTTTCAAGCTTTACCATCTTGTTCTTTTTTCCTGACGTAGTTTTGGCAGAGCTTGGACTTGTGTTTGGTTATTTTTTATCTTATATTTATATAACATCTGGCTGTTCAGTTCTTACCTTTGTACCATTTCAAGCTCTTCATTGGATTTGTAAGACTTGAACTGCAATAAATAACTGGAAAAATTTGGCTGTTCTAAAATTTTCGACCAGTAGTGTATGTTATACTTAAAGGTCCTATATTACACTAAAATTGACACTGAATGTGAATTTTAAGCCGTGTTATAATGTTCTCATCAAAAACACACCTGCAGTTGTGTTTTGTTTTATTCACAAATGCTGGACTAATCTGGCATTGTCAGGCTGTCTACATCTCCAAAGCTCAAAATGCTCTGTTCCACGTTGTGATGTTGTGTAGAGGTAGTCTTCATTTTAACAGCTACCTCTAGTTCTGTAGAAACTGGCAATTCCAGGTCTGCAATAATTCAGTTGATTCTTTAGGAAGAGAGAGCACATCACCCCAGTACTGAAGTTTCTGCACTGGCTTCCTGTGAGCTTCAGGATAGATTTTAAAATTATTTTAGTGGTTTATAAAGCTCTTAATGGTCTTAGTCCTATTTATTTATCTGACATGCTTTTATTATATGGGCTCTCGGACTCTCAGGTCTCTCAGGTATTCACCTTTATCTGTCCCAAGAGTCCAAACTAAAACTCACGGTGAGGGGTCATTCACCTTTTACGGCCCCCGTTTGTGGAAGAGTCGACCTGAGGATCTGTACGTACCTTTTTAATTTAGCTTTTAATTGAAACTTTTACTTGTTGTAACTTAAATTATGATTATTATTGTTATTACTGTATTTGTTTTAAATTAAATTATCATTGCTATTTTACTTAGTCTACATCTGATTTTAGCTCTCCATTTTTATTTTTACATTTAGGAGCTTTATGTTTGTGTTTTATGTTTCTGTTTAAATTGCTCTATATATGGATGAAACAATGGGGTGGGGGTAGGGTTGTTGTTGTTGTTGTTGTTTTTAATTATTGTCACTGTGGTAATACAGGAAGTGCTCAGAGCAGGTTTTTCCTGTATTGCCATATGACATCACAAGGTGGAACAGTGTGTGTGAATGTTTTCTGTCTGAGAGAAGAAGTCAGCCTAGATATGCAAGATTTTGGGTGTGAATGAAACGTATGAATGAAACAAAACATAACTCCAGGTATGTTTCTGATGAGGAAGCAACATTATAATATAGACAAAATGACATATATGGGCTCCCAAAAATACATAATGTCTTCTTTAAGTTACTGTTGTGTAAAACAGAAGTTGCCTGAGTTTTGCAGTAAAACAGTTTCTCGGGTGTGTGCCTGTTGTAACCTTGTGCAGTGACGTTCTCTCCACGAGCTGGAAAGGCGAAGGGTCCACTCGAATCTCATCGATTTCCATGGGCTTGTCCATCTCGGCCTCTTCCCACGCTTTAATCTGCAGCACAGAGCCAAGGTCACCTCCACAACACAACACAATACAACACTACCGACAATCCAAGCAGAAACTATGAAGACCACCAAGGGGCAGAATGCAGACGGTTTGAAAAGAAAGCATATGATTACATTTACATGATTAAGCTACATTTCAGCCTAAAGCAAAGGATATTTATAGAATCCATTTGAATTCTCTGTACATTGTCAAGGCAGATGGCTTCAAGAGACAGAGGCAAACATGGTAATATTGTTTGTAATTAAGGTAATGCTTTATTTTACACTACACTTTCTTACACCTCATTAAACTGTAAATATAACATTTAAACCAACTAACAGGCCATTACATAACAAAGTGTAGTGTGACTATCATAGCCCACTTTACAGATGTCATAACCAACTACTATATTACATCACATTACACTTAAAACCATAAATTGCGTATGAGAATTAATGTTACAAAATGTTCAAACTGAAAATGAGGAGGTTGTTTTGACGCAAGAGGGTTTACCGGCTTTGCATTAGCATTTGTTTGTCTTGTTTGTCCCATAATGCTTTGCAAAGTGATGTCACAGTCTATATTTAGCAACAGTGAAATGCGTCATTTTTCAGTTACACTATTTTGATGAGAGCAGGCCAGGAGTGAGTGCACTATTATCATCTGACTATCATCAAGCCATCAAGTCTAACTTTGCAATGGGATACATATACAGTAAGACATGCTTGAAAAAACTACTCATCTTCTTCCATTTCTAACTTGAATAACCACTATTTAAGCTAAAGGACTAACCCACCACAAAACTATTAATTCTGTAAATACTGTACTTAATCATAAGCAAAATAATTATACTGCTTAAAGGGAGCTTCTTCATTTGTATTTAAATCAACTACTTTGCATTCTCAGATACAGTTTGTTAAAACACAGTGTCCTTGATGGTGCTCTTGTCCTGTGCAGATTTAAGATGGATGACACTTTTAGCTCTTCATGAATTTTAGCTCTGAGCCTCGGTCCAAAGGCATAACGTCTAGAACAATTTACAGAAAAGTGCAATGGCCACCCGGGAAAGTATCCAGGACCAGACCAAAGACACTACACTACTATAGAGGACTTTGGGATTTAAACTCTGCAAGATTAAAACTATAACCAATCTTTACCTATAACCAATGTTTATTGTATAATTATTATTATATGATCATTTAGATGAACTAATCTGCTCAAGGAGAAGTAAGTTTTAGACCTCTTGATTTAATCTATGAAGTATTGATTGACCTCAACTTCTTTAATTTGGCTTCATGCCATAGGTGGAAGTCTATGGTCTAATTGTAGTGGAAGAAAGTACTGACCTCTTCTGGAGTCATTGTGTCGGCCAGAGGAGGAGGACTAGGCTCCTGGGGAAACAGACAAAAGATTGGCGATATGTATGTATACAAAATCAAATAGCAAAGCACACTTTAAACATGTATGAAATTCATTTTCACTTTGTGCATTTGCTGCCCTTGTTTCTGCAACTGCAACAATAATATATATTGCAAAGAAGAGAAGAGAGCCAGATTTAAACTTTTATTAAATTTATTTTTAGAAATAATTAATAATGCATTAATTTAACTAAACCTAGAGTGAATTCTTCTCACTGCAATATTAAGATCATAGTTCAATATATTTTTTCCTCCTATGTCGTCCAAGTGCCCACCTGGGTAGATAAAATCGTTACTGTCACGTATTACATCTTTTATGCTCTTAGAGATGACATCTCTAATTGGAAGCCAGCCCAGATTGCTGTAGCATAGATGTACTCACCCAGAATGAACAAGTGTGAATCAATATTTGGGAACAGAATAACATTGCTGGCATCCTACAGATTTAATCTAATCTCAGAACTGACAAGGAAGCGTTTGACCACGAATGAGAAGGTCAGTGTCTCGTATCTCTATCTGTTTTTAAGCAGCGGGTGGTGTATTCCTCCCCAGCCTCTAGTTGATATGCAGCTTTATCAGATGTAAGAGCTCCGCTACAAAAGCAATCTCCAGACAGATGGGAACAAACCGAAAATATAATACAAAATCAGAAGTGTATTGTACAGGATTGAGCACTTGTATGACAGTAAACCTTGGAGCTTTACAGGTTTTTTCAAATGTGATTCCAGTAGGGCTGGGCAAAAATAAAAATGTTTAATCGCGATTAATCGCATGAGTTCGAGCAATTAATCGCGATTAATCACGTTATACGCAAAACCACTTAATGAATTAAAAAGTAGAGTATAGCGCACTTTTATTGGAAATGTAAATGAAAGAGCCATACATTTGATGTGCAAACAGCATTTCTTTCACAGGGGAACCTCAGAGCCTTCAAGGTATTCAGGGAAGGCTCAAGAAAAAATATTGAATGGACGTTTGTACTACGAATATATTTATTGAATATTTTTTATGCTGTGAGTAATGAACACTACACTAGTAATAATTTCTAGATCAGTGTTATAAACTTGGACTGATATTTCTTAGGAAACAAAGGGTTAATATAATGGAATGGAAATGGACCAATCACATTTTTTCTTCCAACGGTATCTGGGTAAATCAGTTACTCCAGCACTGAACTAAAGAAATAAGCTCAGCTCAAAGCGCACGGCTGGTCCGGGCACGTTGCATCTCACGTGGTCAGAAAAAAGTGAAAAAAGTGTAAAGAAAAGACGTCAAACTTAAAGAAACGCTCGCGGTGGACTTTTTCAAAATAAAAGCCAGTGAGAAACAGACGTTTACAATAAAATAAATAAATAAATAATAAAAACTGCGTTAACGGCGTTAAAATAATTGTCAGCGTTAATGACTTAATTAGTTAACGCAAAGTTAATGTGCCCGGCCTTAGTTTCCAGTGCAGCTTGTCTACGTATTTAAAGCAGACCTATTCTGCAAACTCTACTTTTCAGAGCTTTTGACAATGTTATAGTTGTTTCCTTCTTATTTATCCTCTCAGAGTTGTATTTGGAGTGATTCATGCATGTCTGAGCAATCTTTCATTGCTTATTTTCAAGATGCTACATTGCAGTACGGCCACTGCTCTGCACTTGCTTCATTCTCCAGTTTTATTTTCTTAATTGTACTCATTTTGGTACAAATGAAAAGGCTTGCTAGCTTGATGTGCAGCTATCCATAGGAATGGATGATAGCTGCATGGTGATTTGGTGGGTTGACGTTTATGGTGATGTCAGCTCTCAGTGAATGAAAATCAAAACAATGAAACCACAGTTTTCTAACACAGAAGTCAGCAGATTTATTTTTTCTTTTAAGTTGTTTTAGATTAATATATATATAATTATAACATAATGATCAGATTATAACTATGTAACTGACACAAGCACAATAGATCTTCTTTAACACAAGTTAAAGAAGAACCATTTGTGTGAAATTGCAGAACTGATAAGCCTAAACAGAAAGCCAAAAGGAGAGTCCGCCCAGAGCAAAATGATAGATAAATATTTATATCCTTCTTGTGAGTGGAACGGAGGTGGCTTTGTGAAAGAGAATAGGAGAATTATTAGCATCTGAATGAATCATGACACCAGGGAAAATGACTTGGTTACTCAGAGCAAACAAAACCAGGTCTCGGAGAGCAGAGAGAGGCTGTTTACAAAGAAGTCACAAAAGGGACATGGAAGTGGAGTATATACAACATGAGCATTTTAAAAAGGGTTGGGTGGCTTACATTAGGGTTGTCAAGTATCAAAAATCAGATACTAATTGACACTAAAACTAGTATCGAAACTGGATACTCATTTGAGCAAGTATCGATACTACAAAAGATGCATTCACAGGACAGAAATGAACCTTTCCTGAATAGGTTTAGAATGATCTTGAGTATAAGAGTATAAGAGTATATAGACTAGTATACGCCCATGGAGCACTATGGAATCTACCTGGACCACTGAGGGATTACACAGGTATGAAGGACTCATGGGAATATAAAAAAGTATAAAAAACCATTTAATGTTGAAAATCACATTCTATTGTCTAAAGCATGTCAAACTCAGGCCCAGGGACCAAATTTGGCCCGCAGTATAATTTTATTTGGCCCGCGAGATCATTTCAAATATGCATTAGAGCTGCCTGCTGTCTACAGATATAGACTATAGAGCAGGGGTCTCCAACCTTTTTCCTCTGGTGAGCTACCTTTATAAAACAAAAATGCTAGAGAGCTACTAGTTTTAGGGGCTGCAAAAAAATTAGGCAATTATAAGAAAGAGAGCAAGCCTCTGGGTACAGTTAGATGCCTGCAAAACATAAACCACTGTCCATTTATTAGTGGTTGGGCTTCAAAATTATACATTTAAAATAGTAACAGACATGTAAGCACAATGGTGTAATTCCAAAATCCCTTGGCGAGCTACTTGGAAGGGGGTAGAGAGCTATTGGTAGCTCCCGAGCTACGGGTTGCAGACCCCTGCTATAGAAACATTATTTATTTAAAATGTTGTTATTATTTTATATTATGCTTGCTCTGGATTCAATGTTGAAGTAAAACTACTATTAAACATTTATTTTAATCAGAAGGTTTAACATTACATATCTTGAAAGAAGAGAGAACATGCAAATGTTGTTGACATTTTTCAATAAATATTTAGTTTGGCCCACGACTTAATCCCAGTTTTTAATTTTGGCCCTCTGTGAATTTGAGTTTGACACCCCTGGTCTAAAGAAAGAGTGTTTTTAATGATCATTGTGGTATCGGAATAGGCATCAAGTATCAAGTCTATTCCTTAATATTGAAATCGAGTTTGAAATTTTTGTATCATAACAACACTAACTTTCAAAATTACAGAAAAGGAGACAACAATTTAAACAATCATACAAAGATAAACTACATTTTCCTTTTCCCAAACATTGTTTTAATGCTGCAAAAATGTTACACATATTACAAAAAAAAAGAAAGAGTCATAATTTATTGATAGACATTTACCCTTTTGAACAGAAAGTATATATTAGTCAGAACGGCAATTGAACTACCAACCCTCAGGTGAGTGGGCTACCTGCTCAGCCACCTGTGCCACTATGCTTTATATAGTGTGAAATCTCATCTGTTACAAGGCGCTTAAAACACAACACTATAATTACATTACATTAGATGGAGTCAATGAAGCAAACGGCTTCTCTCATGTTGTGAATGTTTTGAATAATTGTACACTCATTGTGCTGTTCCCTAAAGCAAAACCAGAGACTATGAATTCATGTAATTCAATCCACAACGAACAACAGATGCCTCATATTTGATTAGGACCAGACCTCCAAATACATGAACATATGTTTTGCCATCAGTGTTCTGCAAGAAAGACTCAAGGATGATCTGTCTGATAAACTCTCTGATAAAATACCAAGGATAAATGTTTGCTGAAATACAAGGCTGACGGTAAAAGAAGGGGTCCTCCAAAATCATTAAAATGAAACGTGCATCGCCTAAAACCACAGCATGCGTTCACACTTGACTACAAACCAAATCAATAGTTTCATTTATCTTTATTCATACAGGGAAAGCCCGGTGAGAATACCAGAATATCTTTTTCATGAGCACTCTGTTTAGACAATACAGACTAGGGATCCGCCGATACTGATATTGGTATTGGATGTCTCCCCCGATACTGAAAAATTTGCGACAGATATCGGCTTTCAAATATCAAATATCAGACGTTTTTCTGGTTTGACATGTAATTAATTTAGTTTTAAGGAAATAAATGCTGTTTAAAGTCTCTGTTCTGGTATCAGTTGATATTTGGGATTGGCAGATACTTAAGGCCATAGTATAGTCATCAGTATCGGAACGGAAAAGGTGGATTGGTAGCCAGACTGGCGCCACCTAGTGCCTCCGCTCAATTTAATTTCTCTCCAGTGACTAGGTCAGGAATCGGAATACACTAGACGGTTCGCAAAAACTCCGGAAGTGCGAGTTTGTTCACCAGCCAATCGGCGAAGAGCCATACATTCTGTGCTGGCAACGATTCCCGAGATCGAGGATTTAAAGGCGGAACAAAGAGAATGTTTGGTGAATTTTATCAAGGGGAAAGACATAATGCCCTTCTTCCTACGGGATTTAGGAAAAGCTTAATGGGCCCATCTCACGCAAAATCAACTTTTCAGAGCTTTCTACCTTCTAAGAGTGATGTGTGGGCTTTGTATATGTCGCCGAAGCGTTTTTAGATTGATTCAGTGTTTTTTCTTAACAAATTGCAATGTATTTCTGCCACCCTCCCACGTGACAACGAACTAAAGCTGCTACAACGATGACGCTTTTGATGTAGTAGAAAGCACTTCGCACCTGCCCCCCTCCACGGCCTCCTTCATGAACACCTAAACAAAAGCGACAGCATAAGCTAATTGTTCTACACTGCAGTGTACATAACATAATAAGTTTATCTCCTAGCGTTTATTAATACTTTACCAATCAGTAATGTTCAGTTGATGCCGACCCGGTGCTTGCGTTTCGTGCACCTGAAAGTCCTCGTCTGATTCCGAGTCCAACACATAAGGCTGATCGCGCTGTATCACCATGATGAATAAAAGTTTATTCCTACCGCTATCAGACTGCCAAGAAATCAGTAAGACTAACTATTGTGTAACGGATGTTCCAAAACCCAAATTGTGCTTGTATATGTGCATAATATACAATGTGAAGAGTTATGTTGCATGAGATGGGCCCTTTAATATACCGGTTAACCCCGTTAGAGGTGCATTACATATGTCACGATCAAATAGCAGCGATTGGTTGAATAAAAAAAGTACCTACCGTCAAGCAAACGAATTCTAACACTGTGAGGTCAGACAATTTCTACGAAATGAAACCAGCTGATGAATCAGGCTAGTGGATCAGTGCATCCCTAATACAAACAAAACAATAATCACAAAACAAACAGACAATAGTCAGGACTAAACTGGTCTCTAAGCAGGACCAAATCAGAACAAATGTGAATCTACCCATAGACTAGAGTTTTTTTAAAGGTGCGTTATGTAACTGTTTGGTTGGGGGTCCTTCGCCTGCTTGTTTCTATGGAGATGTCATTGCTCTACCTGACATTAAGCGGCTCTACTTTACATTTATTCACTTACAGGTGGTTTTATAGCTCAAAAATACCTAGAAAAACAGCGGGAGTCGCCTCTCCCAAGATCTGACCTGTAATTTGGTTTGGTGTGAAGATAGCACGGTTTAATACCACACTGTGACACATTCCAGACAATGCAATAACATTTCCACAGAGAAAAGCATTTGACGGACCCTACGCCAGAAAAGTTACAGATAAACACGTTAACTTTTTGGTGCAATATTTGAACCATAACCAACAACATTTCTGGTGGGCTGCAGAAAATACAATCTGATTATCATTGACGGGAGGGCCCAGACTGTTGTGCTGTGCTGCTGTCAAAAGCCTGAGTTGGTAAAACAAACCCCAGACGCCCAGTATAAAGTATATAAGCCTATTTTTATCCTCCGCGGTGCCTGGTGCAGAGATGTAAATGCGGAGAGTCTCACACACCTGGGACTGCCCCTCGGTCTGTTTGGGTCTGGAGGCAAACATACTGCTCAGAGCGCTCCTCACCGACTGCAGAGGGCCTGTATCTGAAACAGAAGAACAACAAAACACAATAAGAATCTGTAAGAATAGTACCTGTTACAAACTAAATCTTGTATTTTTTAAAGGGTCCATATTACATTGTTTTCCGATCTATGTTATAATGTTGTTTCTTCATCACAAGCATACTTGGAGTTGCATTTTGTTTTATTCATACATGTTTAGCATCATTTTTAACCATACACCTTTACTAGAACAATAATTTCAGCCCTGGAATTGACAATCTCTACTGAACTAAAAGTACAGGGCAGCTGTTAACTTGAACACTACCACTACATGAAATCACGAGGTGGAACAGAGCTATTCCAATACTGTATTTTTCATACTATAAGTCGCACTTTTTTCATGGTTTGGGTGGTCCTGTGGTTTATACTCTGGTGCCACTTATATGTTAAAATTTTCACACTGACAGCCACGAGAGGGCGTTCTACGCTTGTGTACACCTGTACCACTGTCACTTCGCACTCTACTGCGCATGTTGGCAGCAGAAGAAAGAGAAAGCACTACTGTTCTGTCAGTCAATCACACCATTACGTCTAACTTCTATATCACTGACGATTTTAAATGTAAACAAACATAAAGACAACTGAAACCATCCTGTTGGGATTCAGAAAGGCCCGAATAATTCTAACTGGAACTGATGCTCAGTCTGACGACAGATACACAGAAGAGGAAGCGGCGCTCCATTTACCTACAGAGGTTACGGAGTTGCTCAGTGACACTGAGGATGAAGAACTGAATGGATTTAGTGATTTGGAGTGAGATGGAGAGTTTGTTAAACTTGTTGTTTATGCTATAGTTATCTAAAGAACTGTTCATATGAGACGTTAACAGTCTGTTGTTCTCTGTTCTATTGTTATTACTCGCACTTGACTTTCAAGATGAAATGTTGGTTCCTGGTCTCTGATTTTATAAAATAAATTTCCCCCCAAAAATCCAACTTATAGTCTGGTGTGATGTATATATATGTTTTTTTCTTCTTCATTATGCATTTTTGTGCTTATACTCTGGAGCGACTTATAGTCCAAAAAATACAGTAAGTAAAAGCTCACAAGAATTTTGTGTAATACAGGGCATTTTATTTAGCCAACTTTAAGCATATTAGAAGATTTGACTTCTGCTCCAATCACATTTTTGTAAATGGATATTTTGATGATCCAAATTAGTGGGAATACTGTCAAAATGTGTAGCTGTTCTTTTTTGTTGAAAATAATAAGATGATATTTTTTAAATCAATCAGAAAAGTGCTAAAAGTACTTCTAATGTCTTAGTAGACTTCAGTATTGGATTAATATGACTGGGAAGTTTGCTGGTACAGAAATATCACTTGGTACTCTTTTGTAGAATAAAAATGTACGTATCTACTTTATTTGTCCCTAAGGAAATTTGGCATAGACCAGGGGTGTCAAACCAAAATTAAAAACTGGAACTAAGTTGTGTGGCAAACTAAATATTTATTGAAAATGTTCAATCTTGTTTTCTCTTCTTTTGAGATACGTAATTTTAAACCTTTTCTTATTAAAATAAATTTTTAATAATAGTTTTAATTAAACACTGAATCCAGAACAAGTATAATATAAAATAATAACAACATTTTAAATAATGTCTCTATACCCTATCTGTAGCCAGCAGCCCAGCTCTAATACATATTTGATATAATCTTGTGGGCCAAATAAAATTGTATCATGGCACAAATTTGGCCCAGACATAGAGCACTGCACGGATATTCAACTAATACAGTAATAAATGAGCTTCCACTACAAGATTCTGACAGTCACTACAGTGCTCTAAAAAAATTAAAAAGCCACATCTTCTCACTTGCATTCGACACAAGTTATAGTGAGACCAACTTGTTATATATATTACAGTATAATGTGATGACTCCACTACAGTTAACTTTACACTGAAAAATTGTTGCCCCTCGTCTATAACTGCTGCTGTGAGCTTCATCATTCTGGTCTTAAAATGTTCATATTAATCCGGTTTAAATGAACCTGGGGCTTTTATTTCATCGTAAATTAATTCCTATTCCTAATATCTCAGTTCCAAATTTGCTCCTATAACTGTTAGCTTCACAAGCTTCATTTTGTTTTTTGTCATTTGACTGGAGCTGAACACTATTAGTCCACTTCTTTATACAGTCTATGATTTTAACACCTATACCATTCTTTTTAACACTTTTTTTTTCTGTTTTGACATGTGGGTGGCAAGTTTTGAGTTAATATTCGAGTTCTAATCACAAAACAATTAATATATCTTAGAATATTTTGTATATTGCCCACCTCTACACTGTACAGTCCCTGACAAAAGTCTTGTTGCTTATCCATTTTGTAGAAACAAAAGCTTATAACCTGACTTTAAATTAATCGATTGGTTTTAGAAATGGCTCATATGAAAACTAAAACCCTCCCAAATTATGCTCAATATACTAAAATAAATTTGCTTCACTGAAGAAAGATTGATCATTTAATGAACACAGAAAGGTCAGATTTTGGCAAGACAAAAGTTTTGTCGCCTACAGAAAACTGAACAAATAATTTACTTCAAATACAAAAATATGTTGCATAACGTCAGTGAATTAAGTAGTGGTGCTGTGAGATCCATATTTAATATCTTGTATGACTTCCAGGAGCTTGAAGGACGCATCCATGTGGTTCGACAATGATTCATACAATTTGTTAATGAAGTCATCAGGAATAGCAAAGAAAGCATCTTACATGCCTCCCAGAGTTCATCAAGATTCTTTGGTTTTGCCTTCCATGCTTCCTCTTTCATTCTACCCCAGACATGCTCAATGATGTTCATGTCTGGTGACTGGGCTGGCCAGTCCTGGAGCACCTTGATCTTCTTCGCCTTGAGAAACTTTGATGTAGAGATAGAAGTATGTGATGGAGCACCATCCTGCTGCAAAATTTGACCCCTTTTATGGTTGGGAATGTAAGAGGAGCTAATACTCCTTGATATTTTAGGCTATTGATATTGCCTTCCACCCTGCAAATGTCTTGCACACCCCCATACTGGATGTAACCTCAGACCATGATTTTTCCGCCACCAAACTTAACTGTTTTCTGGGTGAATCTTGGATCCATGCGGCTCCAGTAGGTCTCCTGCAATATTTGCGGCGGCTGTGATGTAATTCAACCGAGGATTCATCTGAGAAATCCACCTTCTGCCACTTTTCCAGTGTCCATCCTTTTAGGCTGTGGGCCTTGGCTAATGCCACATGGTTTTTTAATTGCCTTTTGTTTAGTGCTGGTTTCTGTGCACTGATTCGACCATGGAGGCCATTTCGAGACAGAATTCTACAAACTGTTGTGGTTGACACAGGGACTTGAGGTGACCAGGCCTGGTGGAGTCTGCTGCAGTGGAAAAGGGGCTGGCCTTGGATTCTTCGAATCAACAAACTGTCCTCCCGAGCAGTTGTCTTGCGGCGTCTGCCGGACCTGGGCTTGTCAAAAACATCTCCAGTCATTTCAGATCTTTTTCTTATTCTTTGTACTTGACGCTGAGACACATTGAAGGTGTCACCACCTCAGCAGTGGATCTGGTCTTCAGCCTCTTGATAATTAACACTTTGGTCTCAGGGTGGATCTTAGGCATGTTGTCAGAGGTCAAGTTGCAGTTGATGTGAAGGTCTGGTGTGCTGGGGTTCTTTTTATACACACCCACTAATTGACTGATCAGTAACTGATCACAGGTGAGGCTGTAATCTAGGATTGGGTGCATCATATGACAAGGCGACAAGACTTTTGTCTTGCCAAAATCTGACCTTTCTGTGTTCATTAAATGATCAATCTTTCTTCAGTGAAGCAAATTTATTTTAGTATATTGAGCATAATTTGGGAGGGTTTTAGCTTTCATATGAGCATTTCTATAACCAATCGATTAATTTAAAGTCCGGTTATAAGCTTTTGTTTCTACAAAATGGATAAGCGACAAGACTTTTGTCAGGGACTGTATCACTATTATTATGTATGTTCAGTGTTTCCCATGAATACAGGAGCATAGATCGTGTAAGTTGAGAGGAGTTTGACATCACCCATAGCGTTCAGCTCCAGTCAAATGAAGCTCAAGAGGGTAGCAGTTATAGAAGCAAATTTGGAGCTCCCATATTAAGAATAGGAACTGACTAAAGGACAAAACAGCTAAATAAAAACATCAGGATCATGTAGAGCGGGTTAAGATGAACATTTAAGACCAAAATGATGAGGGTCACAGCAGCAGCTACAGAGAGAGGGGTGAAGTTTTTTCAATACAAAATGAAGTAGAGCTGGAGTCAGTGGAGCCGGAAGCGTGCCCATGCTCACTTCCTATTAGAACCTCAGCAGCAATGTCCATTTATATATGCAGTTTACATACAGGACTCTATGGTGGTCTCCCATAGCCTAAAATTCCCTTCCAAAATCTACACAAATCCACAAATTGAATGAGACAAATTTATTTGCGAAAAATTTTGTATTCATCAAGTCATTTGTTTCAGTTTGGCCTGTCACGAAAATGACTATATCGACTTATCATTCAATACAGGACAGATGGAACAATCATTTTTAGTTGTAATATTTATTGTAGGAAACGTTTTGTTATTTTTCTGGATTATGATCAAATTTAAGATGTAGAAGGTTGAATTATGAGCTTCTGTGATTCATTATAAACACATTCTCACATTTATTTATTGCAGTTCTTTTTTTTTTAAAAACATTTTACATTTAGAATACTTTTTGGAGGACAATTCTGATCTATAGTATAACGTTGTTTCTTCATCACAAACAGACCTGAAGTTGTGTTTTGTTTCATTCACACATGTTTAACACACAAACTGTATATTTAGGGTTCTGAGTTCTTCTCTCAAATGAAAAACATGCTGTTCCACCTTGTGATGTCATGTGATAGTGCAGGAAATGCTCCACTGTGCTTTTGAATTCCATGCACCTTCACTAGAATCATTTGGATAATTTCAGCCCTGTAATTTTCAGTTTCTATTAAACAAAATTAAAAGGCAGCTGTTAACTTAGAAACTACCATTTGATGACATCCCAAGGTGGAACAGAGCATATAGAGCTTTAGAGATTCAGATTCAGAAAACTTTATAGATGCCATAGGGCAATTCATTTGCAGCATACTCAGAGCAGTTCGCACTTTTCACACACACACACACACACGCACACACACACACACACACACACACACACACACACACACACACACACACACACACACACACACACGCACACACACACGCACATGCGCGCACACACACACACACGCACACCCACACACACACACACACAACACACATGCAGTCCATTACAGTCCACAAGTGGGACTCAATGATAATCTACAATAGCAGAGGGCACAAAATAATTTGAGAATTGGTTACTCTTTCGTATCGGAACATAAAACTGACGCCCTGAAGGCATCATGATAAAATCAGGAGCCAGGGGATGGAGGGGCTGAGCCAGGAGACACCTGGCTTTGCTCAGCACTTGCTCCTCCCACAAAGAATGCAGCTCCCTCAGTTTGACCCCTGTGATTTTTGAGCAGGTTTTAACAATGTTCTGCAATTTGTTTTCATCCTTTAACAACAAGGATTGAAACCAGCAAATGAAAAAGTAAGCAGACTTTGGATAAAAGAACAATAAAAATAGTTGAGAATCATTTAGTTTATATTAAAAGAGTTCAGTTTTCTCAACAGGTACATTCTTTGCTGCCCTTGTTTAACAATGCTTTCCGTGTTTAGGTCAAATTTCAGTTTATTGTCCATCACGGTGCCCAGATATTTGTAACTATTAACCTATTTCAACATCATCACCGTGGATGACACTAACACTGTGGGAAGGTGCATGTCTAAAATCAATTATGATGTCCTTAGTTTTGGCCACGTTCAAATCCAGGTAGTTGTCCTTGCACCACTGGACAAACTGCCCCAGCGAAGGGCCATGATTTCCCTCAGATCCTGATTGAGATGTAGACAGACTAATAATAAAGGCTTACTCCGACATGTGTGAATGAAACAAAACACAACTCTGGGTAGGTTTTTCATTACTTAACAACATTCTAACGGCTTAAACCTCACAGGGGTCAGGTTCACACAATATAGGACGTTTTATATTTATCATCTATATTTACTTCATCAATAAATGACACTTCAAAATGTCTTATTATGACAGGCCTAGTTTCAATCATGTACACACCTTATCCAAAAATCGAAAGACATGGTTTAGGACAACAAACTTAACTGTCATCTTTTGTTGCCTGGAAACAATTTTAATAGGGACATACATACCATCTGCTTCTGAGAAAAGAAGATCTGTACCAAATGCTCCTCCCCTCAGTAATCACAGCCCAAACCAGAGCAGATACTATATGTGCAATTATGTTCAGACAACACCCCGGTGACAGAATAAAATGCTGTTGTCTGAAAGTGGGAGTCAAGGATAAGTGCAGAGCTGCAGGGTACAGTGGCGACGCTATTCCTGGCATGAATACAATAGAGCATGACAATGTGGTTTCAGATGGAAGAGGCACCTTGAATAGTTAACTCTGACTTTTAAATTGAGCTTACATCCCTGTTTCGGAAGTTGAATTTGTGTTTCATCGAACCCCATAGTTATAGTCCATTTTTATTTAAAGATCCTATATTATACTAAATTTGCTCTTTGTGAGGTTTTAGCCATGTTATAATGTTGTTACCTCACCAAAACTGACCCGGAGTTGTGTTTTGTTTTATTCACACATCTGAGTAACCTTTTATTATTAGGCTGTCTACATCTCCAAAGCTCAAAATGCTCCGTTGCACCTTGCGTTGTCATCTATTGTCATCTAGTGCAGGGGTTCTTAACCTTTTTGACACTAAGGCCCAATTTTTCCAGTGCAGAGTGGCCCAGGGCCCATTAAATAATAACACAGTATAGCAGGGGTATTCAACTAAAATTTGAGGAGGTCCAGTTAGAGAAAATCTCCTCAAGCAGAGGTCCGGGACATCATAATGTCTAACTTGTGTTATGACTGTGATACAGAAAAAGCCTTGTTTTATCAGTGTATGAATGTATGAACAATAGACACATCAATGAAAATACAAGTTAAAAACAGTTCAACTAAATGTGTTAACACTGACACAAACAGTAGACCTACGTTAGATACAGGGCTGCAGATTAAAATTAATTCCAGAAAATAAATAAAATGGCTAAATTGTGCATCTTAAAACAAAGTGCTTAATTTCAGGAAAAAATAGCAGCTGCTTTAGCTTTCACATCTCAGCTTAACAGTTTCAATACAATTTTCAACAGATCTCAAATCCTCTTTCCTCTGTGTCTGCATTCAGAGTCACCTTGAATGCACAGATTTGATTGGCTGAGTAGCGTCACCATTAGTTTGTATGTTCCTTGGTCCACTAATACAGTGCTGTAAAGTTTAGACTGAATAGGCCCTATTCAACTGATTCAACTTATAAAATTAACTGCATTTAGCCTAGTGTGAATAATGCTATAGTCGGACTAGATCCAAACCAGTACTGACCCAGCGGGAGCAGCTCTGGTTCAGGTCGGGCTCAGATGAGCAGGGAGTTGTGCGAGGAGGACGGACCGCTCAACAAACCAAACTGGATTCACGCGATGAGTTTGTACAAAGTTCTACATGCTGCTGTTTTATGAGTTCATGGTGATAACTTGAGATGAGGATGGCCCGTGGTGTTGATACCTTTCTCCCAGGTAAAAGAGGTACAGAGTAGGCCTACATGGGGCTGACCCTGTCTGGGTCTATAAGATGGCATCTGGGTCCAGACTCGGAACGGGGTCCACCAGTTAGCAATCCTGACGCAGTCCCACGGCCCTCGCGGCCCACTGGAGCAAAACTGAAAGTTTTTTGTGGCCCTCAACGTGACGCTATGGTCCTATGGTTAAGAATCACTGATCTAGCGTCATCTAGGTTTCAAATTAACAGGTACATTTTATCTTTTCTTCAGTAGAGATTGGCAATTGCACAGCTGAAATAGTCCAAATGATACTAGTGAAGGAGTATGGAGTTCAAAAATACAGTGGAGCACTTCCTCTATTACCACATGACATCACAAGGTGGAAAAGAGTGTTTTAGATTGAAGCCTAACTGACAACAAATTTTCAAAGCTTTACAAAAAATATATATGTATAGCAAAACTTGAAAATTTAATTGACAAAAACACAGAAAAAGTTATCATTGTGTTTGGTAATGAAACTTTATCATTCCCACTTTTTAATTTTGAGATGCTCAAGGTAACAGCTTCAGTGTGATTAGCTTTCTCCTGGTGATGACATCTGCAGCCTGTTTTGAGTCAGACGCTTCATACATCAGAAGAGGATGTGCTTAGTGCCAAAAGTCGTGTTCTTACAGTTGCCAAGTTTTTCTTTCTGTATTCGCTTCCAAACTCTTCAAACTAATATCACTGAAGGAAGTACAGAAATGTATATCAGATTACATTTTACTCATTTAATCTGGCTGAAGTCTGATATTTTTATTCATGCGTCGCCCATCTACTGGAAACTTTCTTTGTATTTCGTTAAGACATAATGTATGCGTTTAGAGGACTTTGGCAGACGAATCGTGGAATAAATCATAAACTTAATTTGGTCCCTGGCTCCTTTTTCTCATTTAAAGTTTTCTTGTTGAGAGAAGCCAAATTACTTTTGTGTTCACTTTGAAAACAACAATAAATTCAGCTGTGTTTCTGGTCTGTGAGTTACATCTGTTACACAATAGTTAAGCATAGATGTTGTGTTTACTCTGTGTAGCTCTTTGGAAGTAAAAAAAAATGACCAAGCATCATTCTACTTGAAAACCCTGGAATATTATGTGGAAAACTAATGGACAGGAAGCCCATTGCTAGCAACAATTAATAATACAAATGAATGGTATTGATGGTAGTATTTTATCTTACTATATAGTCACAAATATTTTAACTACTTAAAAATACTATGCAAATTTCAGATTAGTATGGTGAATATGGAAATAACTCAAAGTCATTCTGTTGGTATTCAATAAGGCTGGATAATATGGTGATTTTCACACACATCTTTTTGTTCAATTTAATGTGCATTTGACAGATTAGACTGAAACCAAGTAGACATAAATGCATTAAAGTTTTCAGTACATAAAAGCATTTGGCTTGCACAAAACATGTAAAATTTGCACAGCCGTTGTAATAAATGTGTTTGTAAACATAAGCAGCAGCCAGGACAGTTAATGTGACCCTCTTCATATCATTTGTGTGTAGGTGGGTGTGTGTGTTTGTGTGTGTGTTGCGACCCAGGGCAGTGTAGAGTAACTGGTCTCACTGTGGAGTAGCATCTGTCTGAGGATGTTTGTGTCACTATGACAACCCCACGAGGCCCTGATGCCACGTCTCTCTATGTCGCACATCTGAAACTGACACTAAGATAAAGAACTGCTGCTTTTAATGGTTTCATCTGTGTTTTTGTGTTTTTACAACAAAGATGAGCCCATGACCTGACTCCAGGAAGAAATCAAATGAATCAAAGATCTTCGAGAAATTTGTCTGAAATGTGCTTGAAATTGTGTATGTTATGTAAAATGTGAACTTATAAGTTTTGTGTCTATGTTTATTCAACTTTTTGGATTATTTTGTTGCTAGTTTGCTGCAAAGCTTTTATGTCTCTTGAAATGTTTCATTGTTCATAATAATGAGCTCTCACCTGTGACGGTCGGGCTGTGGTCTGATGGATCTGGAGGTTTCGCTGGAGGAAGGGGCCCATTTCTCTCCTCCAGAATCGGGATGTCCTGCACACAATGTCTAGAATTAGTTTAGTTTACAAATTATTATTCTTTAATTCTCATTAAGAACTAAAGCATAGCTTGTTCTTGTTCTTGCTTTAGTTACACAATCTGACTGCACTTCTGTTCAGTGTTTCTAAAGCTGATTTTGAAAGTACTGCAGTTCAAATTCCATTCACAGGTTGAACTTGTTTGTCACCTTCTCTTTATCCTCATCCTCTTCATCGACGAAAGCCAGAGTCTCCCAGTTGTGTCTTTGACCCTGGCTCTGCTCCTGCAAACAGTGACCCTGAAAAAACGCAGTTTTTATACCTCCAAGAAATATTTTCACTTTGTAGAAATATTGTCAATCTAATTATGAATCTCCACTTTGCGAGCTAAAACTACTATTATGGAAACTGCTACTGTCAAGTGTTTTATTTCTCATTATACAAGTTGAACAATATCATGCAGATCAGATGGAGGGTTAGTCCTGAGATATTATAACTATGCAGATACAGGGAGAACACACAAACTCCACAGAAAGTGTATGTTTGGTCCAGGAAACAAACCCAGGACCACCTTGCTGTGAGGCACTACACCACTGTATGGCTCGTATTTCTTTTTAACATTAACACTCACTTGCATTAGCAGCCGCCTCTCTGGGGACAGCCACCAATCACAGAGCGCCAGGAGCTCCACTCTGTCGATGCTGCCCAGAAGAATCATAGAATCTGAAGAGAGACCAGTTACAGAATGAAATGATTTGTGTAAGAGATTTAAGACTTTAAACAATTTGATGCTCCAGTTCAATAGTTAATTTGCAAAAAGTCGCATGCATCAACACAGCACATTTAAATACATGCATCATGAATTTCAGATTTCCGGTCATTGCGCAATGCATACTGGGAATGATTTTCCTAAAAAGTGAGCATCAAACCGCCATGTTTGTTTTCCCATTATCACTTTTGTTTCTGGTTCTGATATTGTCATATTTTAGTTATGGGATTTGGACATCATAATTGTGTGGTTGCTGGATGTCCTAACAGTGGAAAACTCTGTAAGCAAACTCCATAAATGCAAAAGGTGATTGGATCTGTGTGACTGCAAACCTCTGTTCAAACTGTTTCCCTTCCTAACGGAATTGAAAAATAGTGAAAGGCAAAGGCGATGGGCAGTATTGATACACAGGAAGGACGAAAAAGGAAACCTTTGACTGCCTAAGAAATCATCATGAGTTTGCAGTGAACATTTTCTATATGGAGCGCTCAACCTTGGTTACGACTTTAACAAGTCAACACCAAAGCGAAAGGCACCATCTATTCGCCAAGAAACACCTTCCGCTGCAAAGCGACCAAGAAGACGTGATGTTGCTCTAAAGCCATAAGAACAATAAATTGCAACCTCGGCCTGTTTGTCTGTACTTCTCACTTAACAAACTTTGATGGCCTGTGTATCAATACTGCCCATCACCTTCGCCTTTCACTATTTTTCAATTCCGTTGGAAAGAGAAATGGTTTGAACGGAGGTTTGCAGTCACACACATCTGATTCCCTTTTGCATTTATGGAATTCGCAAACTTCCAAAGCCCATTTCTGGAGCCGTTTTCCGCTGTTAGGACATCCAACAACCACACAATTACGATGTCCGAATCCCATAACTAAAATATGACAACATCAGAACCAGAAACAAAAGCAATGTGGTTCAAAAAACTTGAAAAGAAGAGCTTTGTCAATAGATGCATCCCACTGGGAAATCAAACATGGCGGTTTGATGCTCACTTTTTCAAAAAATCCTTCCCAGTATGCATTGCACAGTGACAGGAAGTCCGAAATTTGTGATACATGTATTCATAAACAAATTTTAAAAATGTCTTGCCTGTTGTGATAAAATGTCTATGCTTTTGTAGAAGTTTCGGTAATCTTGTTGTTTTTTACCTTTTGAGTCGACCAGAGGGATGGTTTTCAAAGAGGTGGAGTTTAGCAGATGTTGGACTTCTCTGTACGTGGACTGAGAGGAGATGAACTTCACTTTTCTCACCATGATGTCTTCCACAAAAATATTGTACTGGCTGTGGGTGAAACACACACACGCGCGCGCATCAGAGTAATAATAGAAATCCACCCAGTTCTATTTAAATGTGAGCAGTTCAAGATGTCAAATGACTCGACTGGAGCCTCGGTCTGAGTGAATTACCTGGTGGCACTGAGCTGCAGTTTAATGACAGGTTCAAGATTTATGTGACAGACCAGAGGGGCACTGCTCTCGGCTCAAACCACACAGCCATTTTTCATTTTGAACTGTGTTTAATTTTCTGTTATCAATCTTTTCTTACCACAAAAGTTGATTTGGAAACTTGAAAGGTGGATTGTTATTGTAAAAATACTACATAATTTGGGGGGCCTAGAATAGTGTCATATAGTTGTTTAATGCGGTTCTCATTCACCCTCCCCCTGGGATACTGTCAGGCAGTTTTTTTCCGCCATTATTCTCACAAAAAGTCACAAAGTCTGATTAGATGACAAGTGGTGTTCCTGCTAATTGCTTCTATATTTACTCTTGTCCAACAAAAGATGTTGTAAATACATAGGACATATCATACAAGATTAAAAGCCCACCACTGATCTTTTAATGACTATTCAATTAACACAAACATATTTTAAAACTTGCAAATAGAGTGCAAATATTTTGAAATATGCTCAATAAAATATATTAACCAAAAAAACCTGCTTGTTTCTATAGATATGTCATACACTCTGATATTAAACACATTTATCTTACAATTATTCAGGTGTTACAGGTCATTTTATAGCTCAAAATATTAGGAAAACAGCATTCTGACTGTGAGCAGGGTTGCCTCTCCACAGATCTGACCTGTAACTTGGCCTGGTTTGGTCTCCATGAAATTAGAAAGGTTTAACGCCATACTGAAAGAAAGATTCCAGACAAAGCAATAACATCTCCATGGAAAAAGCAATTGACAGAGACATTTTTCAGGCCAGGGACCCCCAAACTGATGGAGAGCTGGAGCAAAGACCACCTTCTATATATATGACATACAATTGTGTTTTATATTAAATTGGGCCTAGTGTTGCAATAACAGCTGCTCTGTTATTGTACATTCAATACTAGGGAGGTATTCCATCAAAGTCGCTTCACAAGTCCAGGCTTATCCTCAAATCTTGATATAATACTAGCTTCATCTCCAGTTTAAGCCTCAACTCAACAACTTCCATGACAGAAATAAACCTGAGCCTGACCAAAGCTAACTCAGGTCTGAAGTTTAAGCTGCACTTTGTTCGCACTTGCTCTGAGAAGGCCAGAGCAATGGAGCAACGACATCATGAACACACGGACAAGAGTTTGATATGGGCTACGGACCTCTTTCGGTCATTCTGATCTGAGGAGCGAGAGGAAAGACACAACTCATCTCTCCTCTCCCATTCACTCTGTCTCCTCTCCCAGTCGTTCTACAGGTAGAGAGGAGGCAGCTTGAGTAGTGCAGACTCTAGAGCCTGGTTAATAAGCCTGGGGAATGAAGTTGCCTGACCCCTTTCCGATGCGCAGTAGTACGTGCAGAGCTTAAGTTCAACTGTGCGTAAAAGTAAAGCCGTAACGGACCTCTTCACATGTAGCCTAGAAGAAAATATAAAATTCAGGCCGAGTTTGACAGAGAGCAAGAGACCAGGGAATGAAAAGAGAGAGACAGATGTGATGAAAGAGCGAACAGCCAGAACCCACTGAAATCCAGTCCATCCTCATCCTTCAAAAATGAAGGAAAAAAAAAAACTCTAATCAACCTAAGATTTTGCAACACCCCCTGCAGTACCTCCATGTTGAAGACCTCCACTCTAACAGAAATGTTACACAATGCACCTTTAAAGTTGCACTAAGTAAGGGTTTGTCTTGCTAAAACATCTCTTGAAAGCATGTATTCTTCCTGTGAGCAGTGTGAGTCATGCTATAATCTGATCCAATATGACTTCCTATTCATATTTGCTACATATTTGCTCAGTGAGGCGCATGCTGTTCTGTGCTCCCCCTAACACACCTGATGTGTCCAAAGCCGAGCTCGGGCAGATAGGGCAGCTTCTTGACCTGGATGATGGAGTCGTAGAGGGACGGCTGCAGGCCCTGAGCCACCATGTTGGCCAGAATCACTGCCACCATCATGGGCAGGATGTGGGAGATCTGTCCTGTCAGCTCGAAGCAGATCACCGCAGTGGACACTGTGTGAGTCACTGCTCCGGTCAGAGCTGCTGCTCCTGGACCAAGGACGGGGAAGATAGGGAGAGGGGAAAAGAGAGGCAATGTTGAACCAAACATTACTACTTACTCATTATACAGTATTTGTTTGTCTTAAGGTATAAGAAGAGTGGGGAATGTATTGTAATAAAATCCAATACTCAAACTGACTCTCACTTATAAACACTGTATTTCTTTATTGGAAATACAACATATTAACAAAGTAACTGCACAGAGCCATTTTTTGTACCATTGTTTAAATAAAATATGGATGATTATATCGTATGTTTAAACAATTTGTGGAATTTTTTTTTTTCTGGTGGAGGTTTTGCCTTTTGCTGGTCTCTCGGGATGTTACTGCTTTTTCTGGAATGCTCCACAGTGTGGTATAAAACTTATCTACTTCCATGGAGGCTAGCATATGTCAAATAACACGTCAGATCTGTGGAGAGCCCAACTTGCTCACAGTAAGAATGCGTGTTTTTCAAGATATATGTATTGTGAACAATCTTATTATATTCATTTCATGGTTAATGCTTGCTACAATTAAAGTGCAAAACCTTGAAAGATGAATGCTGCTCTGTTTTATGATACAAACTGCTGGAGCTCCAGAATATTCCCAGAATATAGTATCAGCTAAAAGATACATTTATAATTAGACTACACAAAGGCTTGTTAGACGCCCTCAGAATTTCAGAAACGTTAACTAGATGCCTATAGGCTCCGATATTTTTTGCCTTTATGTCACCCTGATGCTGTGAATTCTGCTGTAACATCATTAAAGGTATTGTGGAACAATCCCAATTTTCATTTTTGCAAAGATATAACCAAAGTCAACAGTATCTAGTAGGGATGTAACAAAAACCGAAATATCGTAATATCGTATCGTCAGAAGTCTATATTGTCTAAAAGTCTATAAGTAATATTGTCACAATATATCGAATCACAAGTTCTTTTGCTTAAATGCATGGTTTTATAGCAACTACAGCTTATGAACATAGGGAACTACATATCCCATGATTCATTTTAGTGCAGAAAACATGAAGAAATATGTTTTTAACTTGAATTCTTGGGATTATGACGGAAATAATTCACACCAAATTCTTGTCAAAGTACTTTAAAAGCAAAAAATTTTCCTATCTGCAATTATATTAGCCTCTCCAAAATATTGCAATAAATATTGTGCCGTGAGATACATATCGAGATAATATTGTACCGAGAGATTTGGATATTGTTACATCCCTAGTATCTAGCAATAAAAAACATCTACGTAATTTAATACATGATACATAGATATGCTAAGAGGGACAGTCCAGAATTTTGGACCTAGGGCCTCATTTCCTAGTGAGCCAGAGGGTTGGAGACGTGTGGAGACACTTTTTTAAAATATTCTATCCAGTCCTTAATAAACTAGAAAAGCACTCAGAGAGCGCAGACCTCCGCCAAGGACTACAGTCCCCCTCATATTAATTGTGTTTTCCATAAATATTTGTCTCGTATCTTTCAATTTGGAATATGAAAGAGGATCCCATTGTCCATCCCTGAGTCAAATTTCATGGGGTTTGGTCAATAATTAACCGAGATATTGAGAAACAAAATTTTTGGCCCCATTTACCACAATGTTAACAAAAATTTCAAAGTGATCCAGAATCCAGGATTTCTTCCGGATCACCCCCAAAATGAAATTAGTTCTTCCTTTTCACATTTCCAACAAATCCTGAAAATTTCATCAAAATCGGTCCATAACTTTTTGAGTTAGGTTTCTAACTGTCAAACAAACAAACAAACAAACAAACAGACAAACGCCGGCAAAAACATAACCTCCTTGGCGGAGGTAAAAATAAAACCAACCTTGCATTTGAAGGACTTATGTCTGAGCAGCAGCCGTGAGTTGTACTGCCTGATAGAAAACTTGACAGCGGTGGACTTATATATGAGAAATAGTCCCTCAACATGTGACAATTCATGTGATGAAAGGTTAGTTTTAGTTCAAACATTATTCTATCGACACAGACATTTACATGGACAGTCTGTTGTAATAATAGATTTGTTTCAGGTGCTTTGTGGAGTGGGTAAGACTGTTTTTAGTGACAGGCTAACTATGACCATTGACATGCACTAGCCTAGCACCAGCGACCTCTGCAAATACAAGGACTGGATGGAATATTTCAAAAAGTGTCTCCACACGTCTCCAACACTCTGGCTCACTAGGAAATGAAGACCTATGTCCAAAATTCTGACCAGACAAAGCAATCATTTCTTCATGCAGTCCAGAAGTACCAGTGGCAGAAGTACCAGTGCCATTCCTCCAACTTTCTCAACATTATGACTTATTAATTCCAGTCGATTTTTCAGTTGATTTTTATGTGGCGACCAACAGAACCCTCAATGCCTGAAGCTTCACATAACTTGAGCACATCGCTACTGTATAATGCATAGCTCTGTACTTCTGGCAAATTCCTGGAGTCTAGGAAGTGTCTTGTGCCCACAGAGATGAAAGAAAAGATAAGAAATCTCATGGAATAGAGGACCGAGGTGGAAGAACAAAGCGGCGCGGAGGAGGGAGTGAGGGAGCAAGGGATGGGAGGATGAAGGAGCAGAGGGACGTAGAGATGGATGGGCTTTGTACAACGACATGAGAGCCAATGAGGGCGGCCGTGTTTGTGGGTCAGCGGTCGAGACAGTGAAGACGAGCCACATTGACATTTCACTGTCAAGAGCCGCAACTCAACTCCACAGGCTGTAGCAGAGGAGGAGGGAGAGGAGGAGAAGAAAGAAGGGGAGGAGAGGGAGGAGGAGAGGAGGCTATAGCTGAGGAGGCGAGTGAGGAGGAGAGGAGACTATAGCTGAGGAGGAGAGAGGGTGAGGAGAGAGGGGGAGGAGAGGAGACTATAGCTAGGAGGAGAGAGAGGGAGGAGGGAGGAGAGGAGACTATAGCTGAGGAGGAGAGAGGGGGAGGAGAGGAGACTATAGCTGAGGAGGAGAGAGGGGAGGAGAAGAAGGAGGGGAAGGAGAGAGAGGAGGAGGGGCGGGCTATAGCTGAAGAGGAGAGAGGGGGAGGAGAAGAAACGAGAAGGAGCGACAGAAGGAGGGGGGGCTATAGCTGAAGAGGAGAGAGGAGGAGAGGGGGAGGACAGGAGGCTATAGCTTGGGAGGAGAGAGAGAAGGAGAGGGGGAGGAGAGGAAAGAGGGGAGGAGAGGAGGAGAGGAAAGAGGAGGAGAGAGGAGGCTATAGCAGATAAGGAGGGAGACAGGGATAGGGGGAGGAGAAAGGGAGGAGAGGAGGCTACAGCTGAGGAGGAGAGAGAGAGGAGAGGAGAGAGGGTGAGGAGAGGAGCCTATAGTTAAGGGGATAGAGAAGAGAAGAGGAGAGAGAGGGGGAGGAGAGGATGCTATAGCTGAGGAGGAGAAAGAGAGAGGGGAGGAGAGGAGATGAGAAGAGAAGGAGGGAGGAGAGAGGGGAAAAGAAGAGAAGAGAGTGAGCCTAGAGCTGAGGGGGAGAGAGGAAGAGGACGGGGGGAGGAGAGAAGACTACAGCTGAGGGGGAGAGAGGAGGAGAAACAGGGAGGAGAGGAGAAGAGAGGGCGTGAGGAGAGAGGGAAAGAGAAGAGGAAAGAGTGGTGCTCCAGCTGAGAGGGAGAGAGAGGAGGGAAAGGAGAGAGAGAGAAGGAGTGGGGGCAACCGCTGAAGAGGGGAGAGAGGAGGGAGAAAAGAAGTGATGACAAGCTACTGCTGAGAAGGAGAAAGAGAGGAGGAGAGAGAGTTGAGGAGGACGGAGTGATTCAGTTGGAGAGGAGAGAGAGATGGAGTGAGGAAGAAGATGCTTCAGGTATGGACGCAATGGAGAGAGTGAGTAAAAGGACAGAGAGGACAGAGAGACAGGGAGAAAAAAGAGAGATGGACAAGTAGAGACCAGGTAGCGAATAGAAGACTTGAAGGAGTCGGAAAGAGAGAGAGAGGAGACTGGCTTGACCACTGTGAGTCAAAAAAAAAGTTTGTAAAGTCACCAGAGGTCACAGAGTAAAAAGTCTGAAAAAAAAAAGATGGATCTTGGTCAGTGAGGTTATTTTTTTATACTGGAGAAAATAACCTCACTGAATAGTTTTATTAATATTATTTTGGAGTAAATTGTAATATTTTCAATAATTGCAGCTTTTGTTTGTTAGACCACACAATTGTTCAGCTCCGGATGAACAATTTTTGACAAAAAAAGTGAAATAATAGACAATGTAGAATTCTCAGAGTCAGTCAAGCAGATTTAATTTTTATGTCTAGTATTTAGGCTGTGCTGTAATTACATTTTAATCGAGTCATTTCTAATTGTCAGTGATAATGAAGATACAAGAGAGAGAGAAGAGAGAGTTTATAAGTTTTATAAGTATTCAAATGTGTTAAAGAGACAGGAGTGTGAAGTGCAGAGGAAGGGACTGACCAATGACTGCGTACCCTCCAGGGATGATCCGGTACAGTATCCCGTCAAACACAATGCCGTGAGGAAACAGAGAGGCCATGATCTCTCCCACCAGGCGCCCAAACGCAGCCCCTACACAGAGAAAAAGCACAGAAACAAATTTACTACAGTATCTCTCTTGTGACTGCGTTCGCATTCTTGAATTTGATGGACTATTGATACTTCGCAGCGTGTATAGAAGAATGTTCAGCAGTTACCATGGTGACTGGATTAGTAAGCACAAAAAAGTTTAAAAATCAAGAAAAAATGATACATTTTTCACATTTTCAGGAGGCTGTGATCAATATGAGCGTTCGTGGTCCTGTTTAGATGTTTGATTTTCAACAAAAACCAGTGAGAGTGACTAACTGTGCTTGTGACTGCAATGTTATTTGAGACTGAGATTGACATTTATTTAACCCAGAGGAAAACTTAATATGCATGAGGAGAACATGCAACCTCCACACAGAAAGATCCTGCACTGCCCCAGAATCAAACCCAGGAGATTCTTGCTGTAGGCAAGAGCTCTAACCAGTTTGCCACCGTGCCATTGCTGACCTATTGTAGTTCCAGCTAAATCACATCTTTCTGGTCAGATTGTGTTAAAATCAAAGCGCAGATTAAAGTCTAATTTGAGTAACAGAGCATCAGACAGAGCAGAGCCTCTAGTTAGCTTCACATCCCCAAGGGAATGTCAATGGATGCTGCAAAGTATCATTATTACTCTATGAGAGATACACTGTTTATGAAATAAATGCACATGATCCACAGATACTGAACCTAACAGTTAGAGATTAGCTCCACAAATTTGTAATATTAATCTTGTAGTTTAAAATCAAACTGACAACAATCACGTGTCTAGGGTTGAATAATAATAGCACTTTCTGAAGGTACAGTTTCATGAGGATGGGCCCAGAAATGATGAAGTCAACAAACTATAACTAACTAAGTATCTTATGGCAGACCTGGGCATTGTACAGCTCCCGGGTCACATACGGCCCTTTGGTTGACTCTGACTCTGTTTAAAGGGACAGTCTGAAATTTTGGACGTAGAGCCTCATTTCCTAGTGAGCCAGAGTGTTGGAGACATGTGGAGACACTTGTTGAAATATTCCATCCAGTCCTTGTATTTGCAGAAGTCGCTGGTGCTAGGCTAGTGCATGTCAATGGCCATAGTTAGCCTGCCACTAAAAACAGTCTTACCCACTCCACAAAACACCCGAAGCAAAACAATTATAATGTCAAACTGTCCATGTGAATGTCTGTGTTGATAGAATAATTTTAGAAGTAAAACCAACCTTGCATTTGAAGGATTTATGTCTGAGCAGCAGCAGTGAGTTGTACTGCCTGATTCAAAGTTGCCAGCGGCGGACTGATATATGAGAAAATAGTCCCTCAACATGTGACGATTCATGCGATACAAGGTTAGTTTTATTTCAAACTTTATTCTCTCAACACAGACACTTACATCGACAGTCTGGTTTAATAATAGATTTGCTTCGGGTGTTTTGTGGAGTGGGTAAGACTGTTTTTAGTGGCAGGATAACTATGGCCATTGACATGCACTAGCCTAGCACCAGCGACTTCTGCAAATACAAGGACTGGATGGGAGATTTATAAAAGTGTCTCCACACGTCTCCAATGCTCTCGTTCACTAGGAAATGAGGCCCTATGTCCAAAATTAGGGACTGTCCCTTTAAGTTAATTCGGAATTACAAAATAAACATATTTGATCATTTTACCTCATGCATGGACTAAAGTTGCATTGCTTTTATTTTAGAGGTGTTTTTTTCAAATTAAATTTTTTTATAAGGCAACCTCACTTTTTCATTGCTTAGTCATAACATAAACTAGTCTGACCAGCTCGTCTAAACAATGCTATTTACTTTTCAGGTGGCCATAAACCTATTGTAATTACACAGTCCATTGGAGACACTTTTTGCTAAACAGTATGCAAATTAAAGTCTAATAATTCTCAATAAATTCAGCGAGTGGTCAAATTATGAGTCACGAAACAGCAGCACAGATGAAAACACGTTGAATATTTGAACTCAAAGCTCTGGAAAGGTCACACTCCAAAACCAAAACAAGACGAAACGAATGCAGCAGCAGTAACAATGATTTATACACTGTTATGTGATCTCGTAATGAGGACATAAATTACCACTAGAGACTGGGATGAATTATGCAAGAGTCTGTGTCCACAATATTAGCAACACGTGTTTTGTATGAACTTAATAGAATTTTAATTTAGACTTTATTAAAGGGCTCAGACTATACAAATTTCTGATCTGTTATAATGTTGTTTCCTCATTAAAAACATACCTGGAGTTTTGTTTCATTCACACGTTTAACACACAAACTCTGCATATTTCTCAAGTTCTTTTCTCAAACAAAAGATACTCTGTTTCTCCTTGTGATGTCATGTGCCGCTGTGTTTTTGAAATACACACAGCTTCATGAGAATCATCTGGATGATTTCAGATCTAGGATTGGAAATCTCTGCTGAACAAAGGGTAAAAAGATAACTTGAATGATAACTTGAAATGTAATGTAATGCAGACTACTATGCTCCCACAGATGCTCCTTTTTATTAAATTAAATACATTAAAATTACATGATCTTGTTGCTCTCAATACTGCAATTGTGATGTTTAAGACACATGATAATTAGGGGTGTAACGATTTCCAAGTCTCACAATACGATAAAGTCACGGTATGAACCTCATGGTACAATATTTATTACAATATCATGGGAAATCTCACAATATGGTCGGGAGACTCACGATTAGGGATGTAACAATATCCAAATCTCTCAGTGTGATATTTTCATGATATACATCTCACGGTACAATATTTATTGTGATATTTTGTGGAGGCTAAACAGCTAAAACTGTTAATATGCTACTTTTTCCTCTCAAAATGCCTTGACAAGACTTAATCCAAAGAACTAAGACTTAAAAGTGTTTAGAACTGTTATTTCTTCATGTAGTCTACGCTGACATGGAGCAAAGGATCATGGTCTATGTAGTTCCCTCTGTCTTTTTTCTAGCTATTGCTGCAGCATAGCTCTTAATTTAAGCAAAGAGACTTGTAATTCGATATATTGTGATGATCCACGGTATTACTGTGAAAACTCTGACGATACAATATTACGATATTTTGATTATTGTTACATCCTTAATAATAATATGCTCCCTCAGTGTATCTAAGAAATGTTCAAATCCCGAGAGGATCAGGCCTCTTTCAGAAAGCTAATGTGAGGACTAGCCTGAAAAGTTGATGTGTCTCCATCAGGTGTTAATCTGTCGAACAGTCTGGATGAAACATGAAAGGCTCAAAAACAATTTACACATTTAAAAAAACGTATAAGACCAGAATTATAAAGAAATATAGAGAAATACAATAAAATACATCTTACCTCATGGAATTTACAGATTAACTATAACCCTCAATTATACAAAATGTCTGTGTATGTGTATTTAGATGCCAATAGGTATGAATACTAATGTGTACATGGGTCGGGGTGTGTGTGTGTGTGTCTCTGTGTATATACGTGAACATCAATGTGTATTGGATTGTGCATCTGTATTGTGTATGTGTGTATACCACAAGAATTAAGTAGGTATTCTTTCCTGCACTCATAAAAGATAAATTTTGTTTTGTTTTCTGTAAATAGTTCTACCATCTTGTATCCTGTTCTATATGTTAATAGATTTACGCAAAGTATGTGCTAAAACTTCAGTGTAAACCCCTTCGGTCTGTAGAATAACTTTAGTGATATGCATAATTTCTGTGTTAACTCACTGTAATATGATTAATGATTATGTTAATTGACCAAAGAAAAAAATTTTAATAAAAACGATATAAAAGTACCACTTCATGACATCAAAAGGTGGAACTTTGAACTTTGGAGATGTAGACAGATTAATAAACCAGGGTTAAAACATGCGTGAATGAAACAAAACGCAACCCCGGGTATGTTTTTGAGGAGGTAACAACATTATCACATGGCTCAAAGCTCACAAGAGTCCATTCTGTGTAATATAGGACCTTTAAGTGTAGTAAGTATGGACAAACCAAGTATGAAGACAGGCATGAAGGCTCCAGAGGGAATAGGCATGGTAGTGGCCACTGCGGACATCCAGAACTAAAACAAAAGACAAAAAACAAAAACAGATCAATAATTAACAGAGGATTATCTTGTCACAATTATTAGTATATCAGCTGGAGCAATATATTTTGGGGCTCAATATTTTTGTTATTTTTGTTGTAATACAATAAAATTTGAGCTGTAGAGGGTTGAATAAGTAACTACCAATGGCTATTATTGGTTCATTCTGCTATTTATTTGTTGCAGCTCAGGCCTTTTAATGATACTGTCCATTTCAAAAGAGTTCACTGGCATCATCCTGCTTTATTTTAATTGTAGCAGGGGTATAAAGTAGCTTCAATATTATCATTCATTGCAATATATCTCTGTAGCAAAATATGGTGCTTCAATATGTGTTATCGTGACAGACCTATTGACAATTGTTGTATTGTAATATAAAGGCAAATTTCAACATGCAAACTTACAGTATCATATGTTAAACCCCTGGGTCTAAATTAGGTGTTTCCAACAAATCATAAAAATCATAACATTATAAAACATTAATGACAGTACTTTAAAAAAACAGAAGCATTTTACATCACAATGTTCTTCAGTGTTGCCCAGTAATATATAATGTAAAACATAAGGTTATGGTTAAGGTACACTTTATTGTCCTCGAAGGGCAATTTGTCCTCTGTATTTGACCCATCCTTCAGTGGCGCAAGTGCACATCAACAGCAGCAGGGGAGCCATCTGCATGATCTTGTTGCTAGGCTTTGTCAGAATGATCTTAGCTCGAAGATTGTACCTATGATGCATCAGTGAATTACTTTTTTATATCTTGACTTGAGAACTGGACAATCTTGTCATATCATTAAGTGAATATGTGAAATACCTTCTGAACTAATTTGAGGGAAAGCTACATTTTGATTTAACAATTCATCTTAAGTCAAAGACAGAAGCAGCATTTTCTAGTAAAAGGCAAAATATCACTTTTTTTTTTAAAATGACAAGGTTATGAGAGTTGGAATTTGTAAAAGGCACCTTACAAAAGCAACAGGTGTTTCATTCAAGTGTCAAATTCTGCCAGATTTTCATAACTGATTTGCATATTCGGTTCCACTTGTTTTTCATGGCGTGGTTTCATAGATGTGCAGAGAATCTGGATCATGGCTCTCAGTGTTTACAGTGGCCTCCTCCATGTTTGTGTCAGTCCTGGCTCAGCTCAAAGATAGCTCTGCCTCTGATGCCATGTGAGAATGTGTCAAAATCTACAGCCGCCGAAGCACCCACAGCTACAGAGATAAACATGTAAACACTCACATACACATACGTGCTCATGTTTAAGAAAAAGGCTATTCATTACTGAGGCTATTAAAATAATACACAATACCTGTCTTTGTTCATACAAAAACCAGTGAGGGAAAAATAAACTACCCTAAATAGTGACTGTGTCCTCTTCTAAAAGCCCCATGTGACTGGAGTGACACTAGATCACAATAACATGTGAAGTAGTGCACTGTATCAGGGCTCATTAGTGATAATGATGGTGACAGGACAGAAGGAGGGCACTGCAGTTTGATGGATGGTCATTTCAAATGTCACATGTCTATCACATCCACAGACTGAAAGCAGATTCATGGCAACATTGCTTGTGCTGTATTATTAACAGTATCAGTTGCATATGGATACCTGCAGATGCCCAGACCCTTTCCTGCTCTCTAATAGTGACATTAAACTGGAGCTTGTCCTTTGCTCCGTGTCATCAGAGGAGCAAGTGTCAGAGCAGGTCAGAAGGAATTTAGTGTTCTCATCCTCTAAATCTGCGCGACTGCGGGAGCCTACCCCCCTAATACTAATTAGATGGCTGCCAAGATGTGGCGTTGCATAGCAACAGAGCGGTGTAGTCCCGGTGCCCGGGGCTCTGTCTGCGTTTCAGAGGAACTGTGTTTGGTCACAGCTCGATGAGTCAGAGAGCGGGGAAGACTGTGGGGGAGGAACCATCAGCCCGGGACGTCCTTGAGCAAGGCACTTCATCAACCGCTGGTGACGCGGCCAGGCAGGGGGGTCCAGTTGGGGCAGATATGAGTCAACAGGTTCAGTAAAGTTTGAAAAGAAATAAAGATATGACTCATGCACTCAGGCATAAAACACCATTTCAGAATCTGTTTTATTCAAAGTCTATTTTCAGAGATGGATATCTGTCTATTTACGCAATAGGGACAAAATGATACCTTATCAATTCGATTCTTACACAAACTGTCCCACTACAACTAGTATAGTCTCCAGTATAAATTCATGTTTTAGCAAGTGCGCTTTTGCATTTGAAATACAGTCCCTGACAAAAGTCTTGTCGCTTATCTATTTTGTAGAAACAAAAGCTTATCGCCTGACTTTAAATTAATCGATTGGTTTTAGAAATGTCCCATATGAAAGCTGCATCCATGCGGTTCAACAATGATTCATACAATTTGTTGATGAAGTCATCAGGAATAGCAAAGAAAGCAGTCTTACATGCCTCCCAGAGTTCATCAAGATTCTTTGGTTTTGCCTTCCATGTTTCCTCTTTCATTCTACCCCAGACATGCTCAATGATGTTCATGTCTGGTGACTGGGCTGGCCAGTCCTGGAGCACCTTGATCTTCTTTGCCTTGAGAAACTTTGATGTAGAGATAGAAGTATGCGATGGAGCACCATCCTGTTGCAAAATTTGACCCCTTTTATGGTTGGGAATGTAAGAGGAGCTAATACTTCTTGATATTTGAGGCTATTGATATTGCCTTCCACCCTGCAAATGTCTCGCACACCCCCATACTGGAAGGAACCCCAGACCATGATTTTTCCACCACCAAACTTAACGGATTTCTGGGTGAATCTTGGATCCATGCGGGCTCCAGTAGGTCTCCTGCAATATTTGCGGTGGCTGTGATATAATTCAACCGAGGATTCATCTGAGAAATCCACCTTCTGCCACTTTTCCAGTGTCCATCCTTTTAGCAGGCTGTGGGCCTTAATTGCCTTTTGTTTAGTGCTGGTTTCTGTGCACTGATTCGACCATGGAGGCCATTTCGAGACAGAATTCTACAAACTGTTCAGGTTGACACAGGGACTTGAGGTGACCAGGCCTGGTGGAGTCTGCTGCAGTGGAAAAGGGGCTGGCCTTGGATTTTCGAATCAACAAACGGTCCACCCGAGCAGTTGTCTTGCGGGGTCTGCCGGACCTGGGCTTGTCAAAAGCATCTCCAGTCATTTCAGATCTTTTTCTTATTCTTTGTACTTGACGCTGAGACACATTGAAGGTGTCACCACCTCAGCAGTGGATCTGGTCTTCAGCCTCTTGATAATTAACGCTTTGGTCTCAGGGTGGATCTTAGGCATGTTGTCAGAGGTCAAGTTGCAGTTGATGTGAAGGTCTGGTGTGCTGGGGTTCTTTTTATACACACCCACTAATTGATTGATCAGTAACTGATCACAGGTGAGGCTGTAATCTAGGATTGGGTGCATCATATGACAAGGCGACAAGACTTTTGTCTTGCCAAAATCTGACCTTTCTGTGTTCATTAAATGATCAATCTTTCTTCAGTGAAGCAAATTTATTTTAGTATATGGAGCATAATTTGGGAGGGTTTTAGCTTTCATATGAGCCATTTCTAAAACCAATCGATTAATTTAAAGTCAGGTTATAAGCTTTTGTTTCTACAAAATGGATAAGCGACAAGACTTTTGTCAGGGACTGTATATCCATTCTGTTAATGTAACAGTGACCTGTAAAAGTCTTTTGTTCTGCACACTCCATGTGTTGGAGTACAAACAGGTTTAATAACAGCCCCTGCTCCTGGCTCAGCCTCTCTCATCAGTCGTAATGATCACTTATGCAAAGACTACAGAGCTCAGAATGAGATGCTCATGTGTTTGTGCTCTGATTGGAGAGGAATGCTGTGACCACATTACTATTCTGTGCATCGCCTTCATCATCGCTGTAAAGTTAATTACTGTGGTACAAGATAAAAACTCATTAGCACGTCTGTCTCTGGGTGGTTCTACACTGAGGGCAGATCCAGACTCTACAGACTGTCTGTACCCTTTAACACTGACACTCCGCTCGCACCAAACAAACTGTCATCTATACACTGCTCATAGAAATATACAAGAGAGGCCAACAGTCTGACAGGTTTTTAAGACTGAATCAGAGCCAGGTAAAGATACCATTCTTTCATTTGAATATTTGATATTATTTGATCATATATGATAATGAATATTTCTATTTGTCAGCATAGGCCAGTATAGGTTATACATCATTTTATTAGAGAGCTTTAAGAGATTAGTAACTTTGGTGATTATTTGGTGGGCATGCAGCTAGAACATGCCCCAACAACTACAATTCTTCTTATATTCTCCAGTCATTTCTTGTCAGCTCTCTGCTGTCAGTGTTGAGCAGACACAGAGCAGGAGGCATCAGCAGCTTGTGACTCTTTTTAGCTCCAAACTCAAACAAAAGTCTGAGTTGGAGGCTGTGGTCACACTGTTTCTGAGGCGGACAGATTGACAGAAGGGAACTCACAGGATCAGGCTGTGAAGTTTAATAATAGACAGGCTAGAGAATAATATCTGTGTTTGAATTTTGAATAAGTTATGGAGTGTACAATGTGTATAGGTGCATTATACTGGCTACAATGAGCCCTATCATGCACAAAACAGTAATGAAGCACGTATAGTCAGCGTTGTGCTCTAGTTTTCTCAGGGGTCAGAAGTTGTATCTCAGAATGACGTAATTTCTGAGTGAAACATTGGATGTGTGTTCCAGTTGTGAAGTTGGAAAAAACAATGAGCGCCTATATTACAGTAAATATATTCACAGAAGGAATCATTGTTTTTTTGAGCACTAGAAACACCTGTAATGAACAAATACAAGCTGGATGTGTTTAATGTCATACTATGGAACATTCCAGGCAAGGCAACAGGCAAGGCAATAACATCTCCACAGAGACACGTTAGTAACATTAGCATAACCGAGTGTAACATCATATTTATAAGTGCAGAGGCTCAACAGCAGGTTCACAGACAGCGGGGGGCAGTAGGGAGCAACTAAAAAGAAAATAACACAGTAAGATCAATATTTAAACTGTCAGATTTTTTTCACCAAACCCAGGGTGCAGCCATGTTGGATTTTCTAACTCGGGCTCTGAAATGTTCTCCAACCCTTTAAGTAGGAATTGTGAGATTGCGAGGCGCTGTAGTTGTCATGTACAAGTCAGAACTGAGAAAATCCAACCTCCGAGGGTGAGATACTTTTCTATAAAACATATAAAAGGTAACTAAGCTGTTATAATGACTGGTTAAAGATCAAATTGAGCCTTGAGGCATTTAATTAAAAATGTATTAATATGAATTGCCACCATAGTCTCACCCTCTCAGTGGGAGAAACATTTTAGGCTTTATGACCCAAAGACCTAGTTAGAGTTTTCACATTTTTGACTTTCAGAACTCTCCTCATGAGTGCACTAGAGGAAAAGATACATACTTTCTAAGGATGTAACGATATCCAAATCTCTCGGTACAATATTATCACGATATGCATCTCATGATACAATATTTATTGCGATATATTAGAGACTAATATAATTGTAGATAAGATACTTTTTTGCTTTTAAAATACCTTGACAAGATTTTGGTGCGAATCATTACTCTCACAATCCTAAGAGGTAAACTAAAAAACATTTCTTCATGTTGACTGCACTGAAATGAATCATAGGATATGTAGTTCCCGAATTTTATTAGCTTTTGCAGCTATAATACAATACATCCAAGAAAAGGAACTTGAAATTCGACATATTGTGACGTTGTTATTGTGAGACTTTTTACGATACGATATCACGATATTTCCATTTTGAATCACTAAACAGCTTTTTTCTTGGACATTTGTTAAATTTATCGTGTAATTTGTCAACAGTGCTAACGTTAAAGGTCCTATATTACACAAAATTGATTCTTGTGCGCTTTAAGTCATGTTAGAATGTACCTCGTCAAAAACAGACCTGGAGTTGTGTTTTGTTTCATTTATACATGTTTGAGTAATCCTGTATAATTAGTCTGTCTACATCTTTAAAGCTCAGAATGCTCTGTTCCACCTTGTGATGTCACGAAGGGGTAGTTATTATTTTAACAGTTGCCTTTTAATTTTAGGCTGCATTTACACTGAAACAAATCGCCGTATCACAGTATCACCGTATCACCGTATCACAAACGATCTGTGCCCAAACACGTTGTTTCTGTGTCCATAAGTCTTCCCCATCCACACAGCTTTGAGCATATTTGTATACATTTTATAGAAATGAAACTTAAAACCACATGGCTAATTTGCATAAAGTGAAAAACAGCTCGCTATTGTGCGCTGATGCAGTTCAGCTTCTGTCGGACTAAAAGATACGACTCAGTGGAATATGAGTGTTCTTTCTGTGACAGAGGGGTGTTCTGCTGATGGTGAGTCTGTTCTGTGCTTCTGTCGCGTTGGAGATGGTTCATGTGAAACTTTTCAGAGATTATACGTCTACAAGTCATATATAGACCGTGTATATGAATGGACATGTATTCTAGCCTCTTAGTATTTTGGCGGTGAATTATTTTGCGGCGCATAGACCTACATCAGCGTATCAGTGTTTTTCAGACATACACACAGTGCCGGATCAGATCCGTACTCAGATGAATTTGTGGGAGCTGGCGGCACCAGATCACGAAGGACGATGGACGAACAATGCATCCATGACGAAAACGACTCAAATACATACTAGCGTGGATGGGGCCATAGTTTAATTCCAGAACTGAAATCATCCAGATGATTCTAGTGAAAGTGTATGGAGTTTTTGGACAAAAACGCACACTAAATCTGCAGGGTTTGTGTGTTAAACATGTGTGAGTGAAACAAAACATAACTCCTGGTATGTTTTTAATGAGGACACAGCATTATAACAGATCAGAAAACAGGGTAATATGTGACCTTTAATATAAGGCAGCGATGTAAGATAGACTGTCATTCCTTCCTATAGCTTAAGTAGAAAATATAGTGTTTTTTGCTCATAAATTATTGAACGAGAAGTGAAAGGCATATCTCTCCAAGGTGCACAGTCTGAGCTCTGCAGAAGAATACGATGAGGGGCTGGAGCGGCTGCCTGCGTGCCCATGAGCAGTGACCTTGGCTGATAAGAAGAGGCGGGGGCAGGCGCAGATGTCCCCGCGGCTCACGCAGGAGGACATGAGCGACCAGAGGTAAATGTCCCTAATGAAGAGGGCTGACATCAGCGAGGGGCCACTCACACACGCTCAGGCACTTTCACAGTAAAAGTCAAGGGTTACTCAAGCAGTCCTTCAAAATAAGAGTCAGAGGGAATGTCGCTCAAAAAGGAGCACAACTAGCTGGTCCCCAAGGAGATGGTTTCTTTGTATGGCATTAAACTCATCAATCTCCATTGAGACAAGCAAATAACACCACCAGGGTAAATGACGGATTAGATCTGTGGAGGGGCGACCTCGCTCACAGTAATACATGTTTTTGAAGGTATTTTTGAGAAATAAAAATGGCTATAATATAATAAATGCAAGAAAAGTTTAATGCCATACTTTGTAACTTTTCAGAAAAAACAATTAACATATACATGGAGACAAGTCAAGTAGAAGCCCTCCACCACTGGAAAAGCTTCACAGTGCATCTCTATTAAAATCCAGAATCCAAATGGGTACAGAAAAGTGCAGTACACACAGATAAAAACAGGTGTAATACAGTGAAAATATATACGACATTTATTAAACAGCAAAAGAGCTCAAAACTAGTTAAAAGCCAGAAAACAAATGTATTTTAAGAAGTGATTTAAAAGCAAGAAGAGAGTCACTTTGTCTAAAGAGACTAGGCAACTTGTAAGCATAAAATCTTCCTCTGCTCCTCTCCAGATGTGTGTTAAATTTACAATATGTTTCCATATGTTGTAGCATCCAGTGTTTTCATTAAATGATATACATCTGACTTCTAGTTCTCCCTGTTCTATTTGAGCATGTACAGCAGCCATGGTTTTCTTTTGTCAGGGCCTCCCTGGGCCGTTCGCAAAGATGTAACATGGAACATCCTGATGTTATTAAACTTCTTTCACATAACTATTCATGTATTATTCACTAATCAACATAATTTAGGCCCAACAACAGAAAATGCTCTGTCTCCACCAAGCTTCTTCCTTGACTGAGGAAACAGAGCAGAGCCTGGTCAGCTGGTCTGAGGGAGCACATCAGAGAGTATGACACCAGCAGGTCAGTGAAATACAGACCCGTGGCAACCGAGTAGGCAAACCTGGCATTTGTCTAGGCCCCCAGCTCTGGGGGACCCCTGATAACAACTGGTTATGTATTCAAATAACAGCAATAACAATTACTAATGCTTAGTAATAATAATAATATGTGTGTGACCTTTTCTTATATTCTTATTGATGTTCTTATTAATATTCACATTTATTTGATTGTTTTTTTGTAGTTATTTGTACATGTGTATACACTGTAAACATTTGGTATTGTGCTAATGTTATTTGGTAGGTGCCCATAAGGTCTTCATCGGGCGGTGCTCCGGGTACCCCTTTGCCTAGGGCCCCCAAATACCTTGAAATGGGCCTGGCGACATATTGTGGGGAAAGGCCATTTTGGCATTTAAAGACAAATAAAAGAATTTTAAAATCCACTCTGAAACGAACAGGGAGACAGTGAAGGGCAGATAAGATTACGGACATGTGATCGTATAATCTATTATTTTACTATTTGTCTCAAATGTGGGCTGAAGAAAATCTCACATAAACTAAGTCAAAAAGTCTTATTCCACTGGCAGATAATTCTACTGGGAATAAATAATAAAACGCATCGAGCTGTCTGGCTATAAAAAACAGTCTAAAAAGATCAGATTGCAAGTGCAGAAGTAGTGATTCATCTCCTCTGTGATTCTCCCTTGTTGTCTGGAAGCAAGGAAATGTAAACTATACAAGTCTTCTAAAGAAATCAGATCATTTTTTGAGTCCTCACATTAGTAATGAAAACCACTCTGATTATGAAAACACCAATGTTACAGATGGAGCTACATTCCAATCTTTCAAAATCAAATCTAAAGGCTTTTTAAAATACTTTCAGCTTTCATAAGAAGAGTTACTCACCTTCATGAAAAACTCCATGATGAAAACATTGACATCACGAAGGCCCGCTCAGTCTCACACTTTCACAATAAAACTCGAGCCTTTCAAAATAAGAGCCCCCCCCCTGCGTGGTGCCTACCTTCATAATGAAAAAGAGGAGAAGGATGATGAAAACGCTGACGTCAGGGTGTAACCAGGCTGTAGACAGGCCCAGAGCAGAGGGAGGGGAAGAGCCTGACAGCTTCGTCCATGTGTAGTTGTCAAACAGAGAGTTGATACACTGCCTGGGCATTAGCTGCAAACACAAAGGTCAGGTTAAGGTTAAATACTGAATGGAAAGAGATACAGTCATGTCGACATGGCAAATTTATCTGTATAGCAGAAGCTGTACAGAAGTCATTTAAAGTGATTTACAGAGTAAGAACGAAATTAAAATCACAATACAAACAAATCAAACAGACAATAATCACGGAATGAACATTAACAGAGAAGAGCGCAGTTTTAGAGCCTGGATTTAAAAGATCTATGTTATGTTGTATCCTCATCAAAAACAGAGCCAGAATTGTGTTTTGGTTCATTCACGCATTTTTTACACACAAACACTGCATATTTAGGCTGAATTCTTCTCGCAAACTGAAAACACTGTGTTCCTCCACCTTATTATGTCTTGTGGTAATAGAGGAAGTGCTCCACTGCATTTTTAAAGTCCACACACCTTCACCAGATAATGTGAGTCCTGGAATTTCCAATCTCTACTATACAAATGGTAAAATCTCTATCCTAACCTAAACTAAAAAATTGCCGCTTCGTGACATGACACAAGGTGGAACAGAGCATTTTGAGCTTTGAAGGTGCAGACTATTAATAAAGAGTTACTCAAACATGTATAAATAAATCAAAACACAACTCCAGGTATGTTTCTGATGAGGTAACAAACATTCTAAAACAGCTTAAAGTTCACAAGAGTCAGTTTGAAAGATCTTTAAAAATTGTCAGAGTAGAGGTGTGTCTCGCATGTTCAGGAAGGCTGTTCCAGGTTTTTGCTGCATGAATCTGAAACCCTGACTCCCCATGTTTAATCCTGACTGACTGGCTGGGCACCAGCAGGAGGAGATGCGGGTCCCTGAGGTCCTCAGAGTGCGAGTTGGTTCATACGCCACTAACATGTCAGAGATGTACTAGGCTAGGGAGAGACTTGTACCTAAGCAGAGCTGCTTTAAAGTCAATTCTACACCTCATACTACTATATCTACCACTGTTTTTCATGTCATGTTGTTGTGTTACATGCTATATGTTTTTTTTTAGAGCATATGTTAAGCAGTAAATGCAGTATAGCCAAATCACATTCTAGTGTTTGTTTTGAGTGCTGAAGGGGACAGGATTTCTTAAATATGAGAGAAAGCAAATAAATAAACATGTTTTCTGATGAGAAGGCATTACAAAAAAAGATGCAGAGCTCTGTTTTAGCGATTGGGGAATGACTAATTTAATGTGTAATTACAAAACACACAGATATTCGGCACAATCTTCAGCACTAAGTTTAGGGACATCATGAAAAAGTATGGGAATGAACAGAAGAACACTATGATGTAAAGAAGAAAACAAAAAAGTACACATTTGAACTGATGTTATAGCGGCATATTTTTTATTGAGGCAAATCTCTTTTAAAAATAAGAACAAATGTACTGTATGTCTCTGTTCTCTCTTTCAAAAAGTACACTCTCTTTTGTGCCATGTACCTGTAATTGAGAAAGAGGCAGCTTGTTCACAAAAGTTCCAGCGCGGTTATTAGGTCTGTAGTACTTTTACAGTGAATGAAAAACACTTGAGAGAGGAAGAGAGGAGACAGAAGCCCAGAACAGAGCACAGGGAGCGAAGGGTGAGAGGAGCGAGAAATGAGAGAAGAAAGGACTGAGAGGAACGAGGAATGAGAGAAGAAAGGACTGAGAGGACTGAGGGATGAGAGGAGGAAGGGTTGAGAAGAACAAGGAATGAGAGAAGAAAAGACTGAGAGGACTGAGGGATGAGAGGAGGAAGGGCTGAGAGGAACAAGGAATGAGAGAAGAAAAGACTGAGAGGACTGAGGGATGAGAGGAGGAAGGGCTGAGAGGAACAAGGAATGAGAGAAAAAAGGACTCAGAGGAACGAGGAATGAGAAGAAAGCACTGAGAGGAGTGAGGGATGAGAGAAGAAAGGACTGAGAGGAGCAAGGGATGAGAGGAGGGAGGGCTAAGAGGAGGGAGGATGAGAGGAAGGAGGCTGAGAGGAGCAAGGGATGAGAGGAGAGAGGGGTGAGAGGAGCAAGGGATGAGAGATGGAAGGGCTGAGAGGAGAGAAGGATGAGAGGAGAAAGGGCTGAGAGTAGCGAGGGATGAGAAGAGAAAGGCTGAGAGGAGCAAGGAATGAGACATGGAAGGGCTGAGAGGAGCGAGGGATGAGAGGAGGAAAGACTGAGAGGAGCGAAGGATGAGAGGAGGAAAGGCTGAGAGGAAAGAAAGGAAGGAAGGCTAAGAGGAAGAAGATATGAGAGGAGGGAGGAGAGAGGAGGAATAAGAGGAGGGAGGGATGAGAGTATAGATGGTTGAGAGGAGGGAAGATGAGAGGAGCATGCGATGAGAAGAGAAAGGGCTGAGAGGAGTGAAGGATTAGAGGAGGAAGGGCTGAGAGGAGAGACGGATGAGAGGAGAGAGGGATGAGAGGAGGGAGGGCTGAGAGGAGCAAGGGATGAGACATGGAAGGGCTGAGAGGAAAGAAAGGAAGGAAGGCTAAGAGCAAGGAGATAGGAGAGGAGGGAGGAGAGAGGAGGAATAAGAGGAGGGAGGGATGAGAGTATAGGGGGTTGAGAGGAGGGAAGATGAGAGGAAGGAGGGCTGAGAAGAGCGATGGCTCAGAGGGGCGAAGGGTGAGGAGCAGGAGATGAGAGGAGCAAGGGATGAGAGGAGGAAGGGCTAAGAGGAGCGAAAGATGAGAGGAGGCTGAGAGGAACAAAGGATGGAAGGCTAAGAGGAAAGGGGAGAGGAGGAATAAGCGGAGGGAGGTTTGAGTGTATAGGGGGCAGAGAGGAGGGCGGGATGAGAGAAGGGAGGGCTGGGAGGAAGGAGGGCTGAGAGGAGGGAAGATGAAAGGAAGGAGGCCTGAGAAGAGCGATGGCCCACAGGAGCGAGGGGTGAGAGGAGCAGGGGACGAGAGGAGGAAGGGTTGAGAGGAGAGAGGGATGAGAGAAGGAAGGGCTGAAAACATGGAGAGCTGACTGGAGCGAGGGATGAAATGAGGGAGGGCTGACTGGAGAGCAGACTGCAGCGAGTGGGCGAGTGAGAAGACTCTGAGCCCAAATGGAGAGACGTGATACACAAGTGAAGGAACAGAGTGAAATAAACAGATCAGACCTGGAGCAGACACAGAACATATTTAGGTGATTCAGAGAAGACCAATACACTTGATTCAATTCCAAATATGCAGAATAAAATTACACTTATCAAATAATACTGACCTTTTGAAGTTTTTGATTGTTTCTGTTTCTAGTCCCTAAGGCTTTAGTTGGTTGATCAACTAATCCCTTCATGATAGACCCTTCAGATTTTTTTTGGGTTGCCTGATATACATGCATGCACATTTACATGCATGTTGCTCTCTCCTCCTGCACCCTGGACTGGAACGTGCTACAAAAACACAGACAGGCCCAACTATCTCACTAATAATGTTGACATGTTTTGTATAATTTCTAATCTCTTTGTAATGATTTATTGACTGTTTTGTTCCAATATTGCTAGTTCAATTGAACGTTGAAAAGAAAAAGAAATGGACTACATTTAATGTCCAAATAGGCGACTTATGGATCCTTTTATTGCTGCTTCAATGTTTTTCATTGTTTAAAACTGGAGTAATACTAATTGTTCAGAGACACGATCACTGAGTCAACAATAAAATATCCTCATTAATATTCTATAATGCTCAAATCCACCTTTATTTTGGAATTTACAAATAATGTCTATTGACTTGGGTTGCGAGTCTCCAGAAAAAAAAGTTTGGGAAACACTGAAATAGATAATACAATACAAAACATCAATTTATCAAATTATAGAGAAGCATTGAATAACTGTATGGTGTGTGGTACAAACAACTTCCAGAGTCCCTGTACTCAAAGGTGCTTTCCTGTGCGTTGTTGGTGCTGTGCAGGGGGTGTTGGGGGTTATCCAGGATGGACAGGAGCTTGTGTAGGGCCCTCTTCTCAGCACAGATGTGAGTGAGTCAAGCTCTGCACCAACTACAGATCCTGCCTTCCTCACCAGCTTATCCAACTACACAGCGTCCTTCTTCTTGAGGCTTCCTCCCCAGCAAACCACAGCGTTGAAGAGAACATTGGAGATAACTGTGTTGGAGAATATCAGCAGGAGCTTCTGGAAGCTGTCAAAGGACTTCAATCCTGAGAAAGTACAGCCTGCTTTGTCCCTTTCTGTAGAGCAGGTCTGTATTCTCCGACCAGTCCAGTCTGTGGTCGAGATGTAAGCCCAAATACTTAACTCTTTGGAAACTCCATTAGTTTGTTTTCCTCCTCAGTGATCACAGGCTACAGCTGTGGCCTGCTCCTCCTAAAGTCCACCATCATCTCTTTGGTCTTTTGTTCAGTTGAAGGTGGTTAGCCCTGGACCACACCACAAAGTCCTCAATGAGCTGCCTGTGCTCCCCTTCATCACCGTTCTTGATACACCCCACAAGATGTGTCATCAGAATACTTCTGCATGTGACACTGTCTGAGTTGTATCTAAAGTCCGACGTGTACAGTATAAGCAGAAGTGGTGACAGAACCATCCCCTGTGGAGTTCCGGTGTTGCAGACAACAGTGTCAGAGAGATGCTATCCCCAGTTGGACCTACTGAGGTCTTCCCGGGAGGTAGTCTGTAATAGAGCCCGACCGATATGGATTTTGCTGTGGCCGATATGAAACTGATATAATGGGAGTTGGAGCTGCCGATATAATCGCCGATATATTTAGTGATGTAAAAATTCACTGTAAATGTTGAATTGTTTAAAAAACTTAGGTTTGGCTCTGGTGGATTTTAAATTGGGTTTATTTAGGCAACATTTATTGTTATTCTGCCTCTTTACATCATATTTACAGACAGTAGGTTGGTTTAATGGCATTTTTGCATCACATTCTAGACACTCGTGATGGGTATTCCAGTTCTTTTTAGAGAACCGGCTCTTTTGGCTCGGCTCACTAAAAGCTGCTGGTTCTTTTGGCTCCCAAGCGGCTCTTCAGATTGTTTTGTTGCAAGCAGGTCTAAAGCACGTCTA